AATTTTGTTTTAAGAAACACTAATTCTTTAGAGACATAAAGTAATTTGTTTAAATATATTTACTGCATTGCAAAGCAGAAAATATTTGTTGTTACAAATGCAGCTCAATAAATATTTCACAGACTTGAGCTTGAATATATAGTATCGGGGTCGCTATTCCGAGATTTTTTATATGAATCTTTTGTTTTTTTTTATGTATTTGGCATCGGACGTGTGTCCCTCGAGTTATCATGATATAACAATAAAAACTTATTGCATCGTTTATAAAAAGCAATGCCATTACCGCAGCACTCGCGCTGTACATCAAGTACATATAATTTACGTCACAACAACATTTATAGTGGTGATCTCATGGTCGTCCTACCACGCGGTTCGATAAGCGACGTCGAACAAGCAGCCAGCGGAGTTGGTAGCCGGCTGTCTACGAGTGATTATGGTGTCTCTACAACTAGGTGTTTCATTTCGCATTTGTTTATTATGTAGGTGTAGGTACTAAACACGGGTTCAAGGGCGTGTTTTCAACTTGTTGATGGAAGTTTGCGTGGATCTTTTCTGTTTTGTGATTTAAATTTTTAATATGTGATAATATAGATGGGCAGTTTTTTTATGAAATTTACTCATAATTAGTACTCGCAGGATTTTAATATAGACCGGTTACTATTGCATGATGGGTAGACTCCGTAATTATTCTGAATAATGTTAGCTATTAAAAACCTAAACTATAACTTTTTCATAACATGTTCTATTCAACAACCAACCTCCAGAACTTCTTGATTTTCAACTGGTACTTCACTACGTTTACCTTAAAACCTTATGTCTATAATGTGTTTTTTTGCGTTTTCTTCCAAAACCACGTGGTTTGTATGCAATATCAAACATGTTCATATTTCGAATTCGGAGAAAGTTTTTAGTATTTTGAATGCACTGATTATTTATTATACATTCAGTTTCATTTATGATTTAAATTTGCTTTTTTGCAATTTCAAGGCGGTTTATGATGTAGAATCGTGACAGATTAAAAAATAAGGAAAATATTGCTGAGAACTGGTGTTAAATATATAAGCTTTAAGTGGTGGACGCAATTTTTGTGGTACATATTGTCGATAACGAGCAGGAATGCGAGATAACGATAATAAAGTATCAGTTAATTGTTAGGTAAGCACCGTGACCAATTAACGTACGTAGTGCGGGCTAGCCGGCGCAGGCGCAACGCGCATTTGAGACGAATTTCATTTAAGCAATTGTGGTAATTGACCGGCCAGAGCGCCTTCCGGAGCAGTCTGCCGCCTTTGTCCCCTTTGTGATCATGTAATTCATATAGGAAATTATACGAGTCATCACAACATCTTCATTACTACGGTTGTATGCACACTATACCTACCGGTGTCTATTTTCCTTGTTTACACTGGAGATATCGACGACAGTATCAATTATTCTAATGAATTTTAGTTATATATTTACTAAAACTATTATGATGATAGTCTACTATGAAAGGTAATTGTGAACTTTTGGGCCGAATTTTGTAAGTACCATGAACAGTTGCTTCTGAAAGTGACTCCGTAGACGAGTAGATGATTTTTTGTTTATTATTTTATATAGACATGATACCAGTTATTTCTTAATTTTAATATCAAGTTCTTATGTCGTTCGGCTCCTAATTTTCAGACATACTTTCATAGTCGCATAGTAATCTCTTTCACTACGATAATAAGTGGCCTAGGTATATGATATAAGATTTATTGAAGTTCTATAATATTAGAACGTAGTTTAAAGTGGTGTCACTAAGGAAAACATTATTCCGACATTTAGCGATAAATCCAAATATAGTCAGTATATGACATACTTTGTATAGCTTATCAGGCGCCAAATAAGGTTGTATAGTTACGGACGCGCCCACGGGTCCGTGAGTGCGACCTTGCCGCAAGGACCGACAGAGCCTTTCGCCCACATTATCGAGCTCTTCTACTTAACGAACATCCTCTGATTAGTTTCTGGCTTAACTAAATAAATTGATTATGAGCAATATCCGTTAGTTTAGTATTGTGTTCGTGGCCACATTTTGATTTGGTATTATTGCGTTGTATACCTATATACATATCTAAGATATCACTATTGGTCGATTTTCGAATTAAAATTTTGTAATGTGTTTAGTTAATTAATGAGGTACGTATCAGAATTTGTACATGTTAAACTTAATGTACTTACCTAGGTAGGTATTTGAGAGAAAGTTGAAAAGCGAAATTATGGAATCTAAAAATTGCTTCACCATCTACTTATATCAGTATCTCGTACATGCTCAAAATGCCTGTTTCCAAGATAATATCTTTAGCGTCTATTTTCTTAGCTTTTCCATCGTGCGTGGTAGGCCTTTGTTTCCGATTTGATCGAACAACAGATTGCCGCCCATTACCTCAGATAACTAGAACCGGCGCGTGTAATGCGAAATGACGCGAAATATTTCCGGAGTTAGAGGAGTATTCTATTAATAAATGATTCGAAGTCGCTCGTGGGCGAAGATTTCGGGCGAGCATGCGCGGGCGCGGCAGTAGCGCGCGAACCGCCGCGGATGCCGCGTACGCGCGCACATCGAACGAACGAGCCGCTATCCCGCGCATACGACGTACAACGCGAACTATCGCGAACGACGACCACCGATCCGCCCCATAACGAACAACTACACGACAACAACACACCGATATCGAGAAACCTAAAATTATTGGTCGGTGCATCGACGGATCGACCCCAGTTAATAGTGTACTTTGCGAGGGCGGATTATAACGAACAAATCGACTAACAAACTCGAACCGCACGAAGGTGTCGCGTCGCAAAAAGAGCAATACAATAGAGTAAGCGTCTAATTATAAACGTGGTTGACTGAGCACCGTCAAGATGCAGAACATCGATCCACTGGAGATCGCCAACATCCTCGCAACGGAGCTATGGTGCCACCAGGTATGCTGTGGGAATGCAGCCAGAATAAAGTAAACCTTAGTTCAGTTGCCGCACTGCATCATTACCCTCGGCAAACACGGAACCAATTATCTGTTTCTCTTATTAGTTCACTTACATTATACTTTTTGTCCTAGTTCCTGACCTGTGTAACAATAATGTAAATTATTTTTTTTAAACATATAGAAAATTTACCAATTAATCGTATCGCTAATTAGATATATGCACCTGTTACATTAAAGTAAAGCCATTTGAAATTATTGGAAATGGCTCGGGATGACTGATTTATGAATTCGCTTTCAACTCGCACACCGCTAGCCCATCGTTGCACTTTGCCCACTTGTTTGTGTGTGAAATTCTAATTCGAAATACTATAAATAGCTTATACTTAAATTTTACCTGCTTAAATGTTAATATGTAAACAGTCTTTGTATAAACATAATCTATAACTATGTAGGTATAATTCATGGTATTGACTAAAAGTTGCGTGTACCGCCACACCTAAAATTTAATATACAGATTATTTTAAAACTATGGTTAAACATGTGTCTGATATTTTTGAAATTTCGAACTAAACGATAATACTATTGGTATAAAAAGGGGTAATCAAGAAAAAATATTTTTTCGACTTTTAACAATTTTTATTAAACTGGAAAAGTACTGTATTACTATTATATTTATTACTTATTTTATTATTTCTACTGTATTTTGCTACAAAATATCAACATTTAATTTTTCATTAAGTAAATAAAGTCATTAAAAAATAAATTAATGAAAGTTGCGACAACCCATAAGTTTGTTATAATTTCTTTATTATCTTTTCATCGTGCATGTATCTTGTAAATATTGTTTGTTATAAAACACGATCGGAATGTGGAAGCAATCCACCACAAGACACAAACATTTCATAATGATTGCAAAATTTTTAAACGTATTGCAGTTATCAAACACTTCATTGGAATTATGTCTCAAGTAAATAATCATAAATTTAGGTATTTTAAATACACTATCGGGTCTTAACGCAGTGAAAAACGTCGGTAATATAGACGCAGCTATGTAGGTACTTTTACCTGCAAAAAAATCGTCGCGTTGAGTCCCTATAGTGTAAATAAATATGTGTAAACAACGCGAAAGATTACAATTAATTATTAATATTCATAAGGTTTCATACCTAATTAAATTACTTATAATAATCTTTCATTTATTATAAAATTTGCACTTTATAATCAGATATCGGACATGGGTATATTCTGTATTAAAACCAGACTTTTATTTTCTCTGACTTTGCCTTACATGATAACATAAAACTTTGATAGGTTTTATTTGTAATAATCATCATATCCGCCTTTACTGTCCATTGCTTACCATAAGCCTCCACCTTGGGAGGTTTTGCCAGTAGTTGCCACCTTTGGCAGGCGGATTTGTAACCGCAGTTAGGTTTTGGAGATATTTTAAGAGGGATGCTACTGCCCATCTCTCGCCCACCCTTAGTCGCCTCTTACGACACCCACAGGAAAGGAATGGGTGGCCTATTCTATGCCGGGATCACACGCCAATTTGTAATAATAAATTCTATTTATTATTACAAATTATATAACTTTTAAAGTGTGTTTTTAGTTTAGCTGTTAATTTTTACTCATTCTTAGATCATTTAGATTTTCAAATGCTGTTTCGTCCAACGAATGACCACCATCTTCTTAATGATAAATAAATAGGCTTATAAAATTATGTGAGAAGACAAAAGTTATCTCCACCTATCTCGCGTATTAAGCTGATCGCTCGTTTGAACATTGAAATATGACAATGAAATTAGGGTACTCAAGATTTTTATATTACAAAAGTCTATAGTGTTTATTGGTTACTTACTATCAACCCCTACTTATATTAACATAACACCGTAGTCCTCAGTAATGGCCACATATGAATAGAAATATTGGTGTCACAGTATATTCTGATTCTGTTGACGTCAGTTCAAAATGATGGATTGTTAGATTCACTGTGTAACGAATGTACTTACAAAATGTGTACTTATAATGTGTATTTATTTTCAGTTGGCAAACCTCGAGGGCCTCCAGTCGGGGGTACCGACTCGCACCACGGCCACCATAACACCAACGCAGCTGCGCAACTTCGAACAAACTTACATCGAGCTGAACAACTGTAGGAGCGAGCAGGCCAACCACGCGGGCTTCGTGCCACCTTCAGTCACGCACGCCAATAATTACGGTAAGTGGCGAAAGTTTACTATTTTAGTTTCATTAATATTATCAAAATAAAGTTTTCGGCCTACCTACTGGTCATGGAAGGTCTACGTGGCGTATTTACGTAAAGATAACGATACTATTTTTTAGTAAAGAAGGATCTGACCGGGTAATAAGGTAAACAACAATATTTCTGTATTTTGTGTGAAATTTTTATTTGAAAATGGCAAACAAACTTACAGTTCACCTGATAGACAGTGAAAACGGTCGAGATAAATGTCAATTAAATAATTTATAACACCGAATTTATCCTTTTATTTCAGTTTGGAAGTGGCTGTATCTTAGATAACCCTTCAGGTCGAAGCAACAATGCACGCCTTAATGCCTCAGTTAATTTTATGCATAAGTAGTGGCTATTTTTCATTAAAATCGGCTTCCCGTATTACATACATACATTGTAAAAGTGATTATATATTGATGATAAATATTCACGTTCTCCATTTTCCTCTTCGACAGGCATCCTGAATTCGGTGGGGTATTGTGATTCGGGCCCGACGACGACGCTGCATGTGTCGCCGGGCCCGCTCTCCGCCAGCGGCGACAGCAGCAGCAGCCCGGGACTACCAGCTCCCAAACGGCGTAATATGGGCGGCCGGAGACCAACCAAAGCCCCACAAGATCTCTCCCCTGAAGAAGAAGAGCGCAGGAAAATTCGGCGGGAACGCAACAAAATGGCCGCCGCCCGCTGCCGTAAACGAAGACTTGACCACACCAACGAACTCCAGGAGGAAACTGACAAACTCGAAGAAAAGAAACAGTCGCTTCAAGAGGAAATTCGTAAATTAAACGTTGACCGCCAAAACCTTGAAATAATCCTGCAAAAGCATCTTCCCTCGTGTCGCTTGAAAAAGAGGTCCATCAGTCCACCAGACATCAAACCTTTCCACGACAACAACTATTATCCCGAACTCCCAGAAGATGGCGTCCGCGTCAAAGTGGAGACGATGGAGCCCGCGGCTGATCTAGTGTTGTCAGAGAATGTTATGTTCACATCGCCGATCCCAGACCAAAAGTAAGTGCTTGTTTATTATAACATTATCTTTATATACGTGTGTGTCATATAAAATGTGAAATGGTAACAGTACATATCCCATATATGCTTTTAGATGAAATAACATTTTTTTTTCAGTTTTCATTAATTTTCTTAATAAACTAAAACTAATTGAAAATGTCAATAATTTATTTTTGTGAGGAGTCCTCAAAATTACGAAATGTTGATAATGGAATTCTTAATCCATCTTTGATATCCTGTAACTTTTTTTCAAGGATTGTCGTTTTCTAATTACAACTTCATGATTTCAGAGTAATGCTGTCGGCGGCGAATCCAGCCGTGGTGACGAGCGCAACACAAATTACCCTGGACACGCCCCCGGCGACCACACGCCCCACCAGGCCCAGTTTCCTTTATGTACATACAAATCCTGCACAGGTAACGTGTTATTAGTTTTTTATTTTTTTTTATTTTAATTATTTATTAAAGGTATACAAATGAGAATAATACTGAATTTATAATCTGTATGAGTGAATAGTGTTTGTTCGTTTGGTAATATAATATTAATGATCACATTATTCGCAATTGTCGAAGATATCTCGTCATATATATTTATGTATATTATACACAAAAGGTACCGACGATACCAAGTCCTATTTTTGAAGTCGCGTAAAAAGTTGAAAATTAGTGTTGTAAAGATTTTTTTCGTTATACGAGGTTTGTCCGGAAAGTACGTATAAAAGTTTTTTAAAAATTTTATTTTACAATTATTCAGGTAAATCAATTTTATCCCCTTCAAAGTACTCCCCCTGTGACATAATGCACTTGTGCCAACGCCGTTTCCACTGTGAGAAGGCTCCTTGAAAGTCCTCTGGTTGTAGGTTTCTCAGCTGCCCCGTCGTAGCTTTTTTTATCTCATTTATGTCCCCCAAATGCCGCCCCCGAAGTACCAATTTGGTTTTTGGGAACAAGAAGAAGTCACACGGGGCCAAATCCGGCGAATAGGGGGGGGTGTTCGGTCACCGTAATGGAATTTTTACTCAAAAACTCACGGACAACAAGAGAGGTGTGGGCAGGGGCATTGTCGTGGTGAAGAATCCAACGCCCCTCTCGCGCCAATTCTGGACGAACTCGTGCCACACGAGCTTTGAGGCGTCTGAGCACATCGACGTAGAATTTTCCATCAACTGTCTGGCCTGGAGGGACGAATTCTTGATGGACAATCCCCCGAACATCGAAAAAAACAATCAACATTGTCTTGACATTTGACCTTTTTAGCCACTTGTGGACGGTTGGTTCCTTCACAGCATCATCCCCATAAACTGTTCTGAGATCGGCAAAAATTTCACGGCCATTCTTGCCGAGTTTCGAGAGAAACTTGATTACGACGCGCTGCTCTTCAACGGAAGCGGGCTCCATGCCGACGGGGTTTCGTTAAGAGGTAACTTCACAGATGGCGTGACAAGCCAGTTCGCACCGCACGGCGGTCAGACCAGAACTGAAGCATTGTTAGGGACATAAGGAAGGGGTCCTGCGCTTACCTGGCCTCCCCACTCCTCTTTCTCGCATTCCAGAACACTTTTATACGAACTTTCCGGACAGACCTCGTATTGTTCATTTTATTACCATATTTCATTTATATCATGTTAGTTAATTTTAAACTTTCGCGTTGTTTACACATATTTTAAAAACATACCTATTTCTTTAAGAAGAAATAATTTAAAAACAATAAAGGTATGTAAGTATTATTTACCTGCAAAATCTTTCATCGCGTTAACTACCGATGGTGTATTTAAAATATAGTCGTGTTAATTCAGAATATATTGCAAGCAAAAATTAAATAAATACTCTTATTGAGAACAAATAGTTTTGTGTGAAGGACGACGTGTTTTCCACACGTGTTATACATACATATTAAAAACAGGTAAACTGGATTATCTCCTCATGTGGAATTGTAACTGCAGTTTACCTACAGTTTTCCGCAATCGGATAGTATGAGTTTCTGGGTCATTATATCCTTACTGTTTGTTTGTACAGTCTCACGACTAAACCGATTTAATTATAATTTAGGATTAGAAAAGATAGGGTGTATTGCAAGCAATGGGTCAGTTAGACCACATAACTAACAATCCCTTTTCCCCATATTTAATGTTTGACAAAGAATAAATATGTTGCTATAGTCAACATTGCGGATGAAAAAAAAAACTATCTAAACTACCTTACGTACATCACATGATGGTACAATGTAATTCTAATAATTTCGTATTCCCATTTCAGGCACACAAAACGAAAGCAATGGGCAACAACAACACCGTGGCAGGTGTCGAGATCACAACTCCAAGCAATGGCATCCCGTTCAACTTCGACAGCCTCATGGAGGGCGGCACCGGACTAACGCCGGTACACCCGCACCCGCACCCGTGCGGCCAGCAGCAGCGCGCCGCGCCCGACGCCGCCTCACCGGACGCGCACAGCAGCCTCGTCAGCCTCTGAGACTATCTCGACGCCACCTTCCTGCTGTTCGAAATTGAGCCCTCACTCGTTGACTTAGAGTCCGATGGCGTGTGAGCGCTCAGTTCGCAGCACGTGGCTTCTTTTCACTTGCCCGTCCAAATTGGTGGGAAACAAACATTTGTAGTTACGTTTACGCTACCGCATGAGTTAGAACAAGATACCGTTGTTGTTATCTCGTTCTATTACGTGTGTGTGGCAGTAAGCGTGTCTATAAATTCGTTTGTCGCTACTTCTAATGAGGAAAGTGTTGTTCGGGCCAGAGCCGCGTGGCGGAAGGGGCTTCGAGACGCTTCTATGTAGTAAGTTTATGCGTGCCTTGCGCAGGTTGTCGGCCGGCGACAGCGTGAGACGCGTCGTCGGTCCAGCGAACCTAGTTCGTATAGCAACTGACTTTTGTACTTCAAATAATACGGATTATTTATTTATTCAATGTACTCCATCAATCCGGTCAAGCTGTTTTTTCTCTTCTCGTTTTATAAGTCGATATCTTTCTATTCTTGTATTTGGCCTATTCATAGCGATCGGCTATATTTATTTATTGACGAACTTTTACAATAAGTAACTTACTTGCTCACTACGTGCTTTGTATTTATATTGTAGTTTTATAATGTTAGTGTCGGCCTAGAGTTGCCAGCCTAATGAAGTCAATTTATAAGCTGTTTTAACTATCTAATCGAGAATATTTTTATAAAAAATTGTATTTGCCTCATAAATAATAATTGTGATGTAAAATAAAACAGAGTTTTATTTGAAGCATTTCAGGGATTTATTTTCGTGTTGTGCTTAAATTCTAGCGAGGCTAGACTAGATGGTGCGTTAGTTGTAATGTGTAAAAGATCTCTTTTACAATTTTTGAAAGTGGCACAAAAATTATTATCGTCGGTGTTTCTTGTCATAATAAAACATAGTGCCATTGTCTACGTCTACTCTCAGAAACAGTTACGAGTATGATATAATTAGTTAACCATAAATTAACAGCAATATTACATAAAGAATAATATATTGAATGTAAGTTAGCTCAATGTTGGTGTAACGTCTTACCGTTCCATTGGATTATGTATTGGTATGCAACATTACTGATAAGCGATTTATGTGATACGTCCAGTGATTATGTATTTGACCCCGCCCCAGCGGCGGTATAGTTGCTTAATTCACTCATGCCATTTGTTAACATTATCTATTTCCAATATCGATGACTTGTCGCCAGTTTATACAGGGTGTATTGAAAGTTTTTAAAACAGCATATGTACCCACTCAACCTTTAGCAAATGAAGGACATCATGGATACTAAGCAGTTATATGAAACTTTGAACTTAACGGTTGTGCTGCTTTTACGTAATTTGTATTAGGTTTCGATGGATTAGTAAATGTTTAGAATACAGAATACGTATGGTGTACGGATTTAGTTACCAGATATATTTTCTTTACATCCTGTATACTATAAAGTTTAATAAAAAAAATATACTTTTAATTTCTGTTCAAAATGCTCATATTTATAATGATTTATACCAATGATGAGATTTAATTAGTCTATTATTATAGATAATTGAGTCACTGATTAGTGTAGAGCGTCTAAAATCATCGATATTAGATTAATGATAGTTTTAATTATACATATTGTATTTTAGATACAATTTTTTTCATAGGCATGAGTCTGTCGGTCGTTTTTATAGAGACCACTGGAATTTAAAGTAAAATAGTTTAAGGCAATAATTAGTATAAGAATACTTAACATTTTAATTATAATATTCATAACTTAGACCAAATTATTAAGTTATATGCTTTATTGTAGATATAATTAAAATCTAAGCCAAAAATTCATTTTATTTCGTTACTGTAGGTTTGTTTAGCTTTCATTTACTTTGAAGTATTATTGAATAGGACGGATTCTGAGAGTATTTATTTAGTATAGATAATAAATCATCACTCGAAACGGCTCGCAATAGCGCGAGTCAACGTTTGCGCAACCGATTTTTATATAAACTTAGTACGCATTCGAAATATTATGCATAATATGAACATCTAGATTTAATAAGAAAGATGTAATTTTTTCTAGAAGATGTTTTCTTAACGCATAGAATACTTTTGTATTTTTTCAAGAAATTAAGCAAAGCAATACCAATATATTTGATAACATTATTGAAATTTATCGCCAGATATAGTGAATTATATATGTAAATCAGAAAATATAAATTTGTTACATACACCTACTAACTTGTTTTATTTTTGTTGTTGGGCTTACCTCTTTTAAAACCTAGAACTGCCATATTTACCTCTTTACTATAATATAAACAGTCAGAATTACTCATAAAAATTTATAGAAAAAGATTTATACGCGAGAAATAATTCCTTTTCCTTAAAATCAGTAAATAATTGTTCAGTTATGCGACGACAATAAAAAAAATAGTCATTAATACAAATTAGGTTATTAACGAATTTGTTATGCCATTAATTATAGTAAAATACTTCACGTTCCAATTGCAGTTGTTTGCTTTTTCTTGAAATACTGTTCTTTATAGTTTTATATATATAAAATAAAATTTCCAGAATGCTGATACTACTGCATCCGAGACACAAACCAAACACACCTCCCAAGTTTGCTGAAAGTAACAAATAAAGTTTAAAGACACTAGAAGGAGACTACAAAAGTCGTTTACTTGGGTATCTCTGTCCCATTTGTGTATCTGCCATGAAGCAGTTGTGTTTGCAAGGCTCTGTTTCGGTTTCAAGGATGGGATATGACAATGAAATTACAGGGTGCAGAGGCATAGCACCTTAGTCCGGAGGGAAGGGATTGCATTGCTAGCAATATACCCTGTCAGGCCGACCTCCACGTGGTTCCCCCTGGAAACCATCGTGCTGAATTCCAGATGTATTCATTACGATAGGCTAACTGACCTGCTTTTTCATTCTCGCCTATCATTCCTCACTGGTGCCCCGCCAGCGTATATCGTTAGCGCAGGCGGGGTTACCATCCATTAAAAACACTAGTTCTCAGGAATTGCAACGTATGAAGGGTGACGCAGTGTACTCTATTATGTCCATGGTATTATTTAATGCTATAGGCGACAAATACCACTTTCCATCAAGTGGGCCGTCAGCTTGTTTGCTTTTCTAAGTTGCATAAAAAAGGTGTTTTTTTTTATGGAACATTGACAAGCAATCAACCTGGTGGCTCACCAGATGGTAAGTGTTTTTTTTTAATGGATTATAACGAAACGGAGGGTCCGTTTCGTTATAATTCTGCGCTGTTGGTATATGCCGACGGAGTACCGGTGAGGATGAAGTAAAGTTAATTCGCCCATCGTGATGATTTTAGTAGGAATTAACCATGATAGGTTTCCAGGAGTAACCATGCAGAGGTCGCCCTGATAAGTCATTACTAACGATCTCTTTTCCACATGATGGACAGTGGTAACTGTAACCTATACCCATTACAAAATCTTCCTTTGATAAATTATAATGTACTTTACTTTACCTCGTTAAAGGGGAAACCCTGTGAATTATGCCTACCATTCTCTAAGACGTCATAGATACGTCATTGGATTTCATGCGAGTCGTCGCGCCGCGATTTAAGTATTTTTTATTGGGAATTGTGGATTATGTAAATACTGGGAAACCTGCAAATGCCAATACGGCGTCATGTGATCCATCTATATAGGTAAATACGAGTAAAATAATTTTTCTGCCAGTAGGTTTGTTTAATTCCATTTCTAAAATATCATCTTAGGACTCTAGCGTCGTTCAAATTTTTTAAACAATGCTATATGGAAAATGAAATGTTTCTGTACTGTTTCTTTGGATACGGAATAGTTTATTTTCAGAAAATAAAAACCTTTACCTAAAATGACCTGACTGAGAAAAGAGTTCAGAGTAATAATTTTAAAATACAACCTGATATTATTATTATTCTTACTGCGCAACATACAACAGATAGGACGTGCATACGTAAGCTTAAATTGTAAGAAATGGTAATAAAATACTTTTTTATAAAGAGATCTACAATTTTTTTAATGGATGACAATGGAATGATATACCCGCTTGCGCTAACGGGATACGCTGGCGAGGCGCCAGTGAGGGGTGATCGGTGAGATGAAAAGATCGGTCAGTTAGCCCATCATGACGAATTTCACTAGAATCAACCACGATGGTTTCCAGAGGGACTTGCGTGGAGGTCAATCAGGTTGGGTATATTGCTAGCATGGGTTTCTTGGTCTCCATTACTAACAATCCCTTTCCCCCTGAGGTCTATTATTATGTCTATGAATATACTTACAAGTAATGCTAATAAGGGACATCACTGTTTCTTGCTTCTGTTTTACATATACGGGGTTTGGGAAGTAGAAATGCATAATGGAGGAACTTTTGTTGAGCTTCAGATCGGTACTGCAAGAAACAAATAAAAAACTGTTAGTTTTTCATATTTATCATAAGAAGTATACACTTGACTTTATAAAATCGAAAATGGAACATAATAGATAATTTGCTATATAAAAAAAGTGGGAAACGTTGAACTTGATTTTAGCATATTGGGCAACACTAGCTCATTGCCAAATGAAAGAAAAAAAATACACGCTTCTCGGCAAAGACATACTCATATTTTAGGGTATTTTACTTGTATATCCTTAGGCTATTTTAGCCAAGACTCACAATAATTCATCATATATATATATTTGAAATTCAACAATGCTCTTGCATTTATTATTTAATTACTTTTAATGTTGATAGAATTATATCAAAATTACAAACGTACAAAGAATTTGTCATCACGTACGGAAGGGCATCCAGGTTGCCTACTGTCATGTCAGTGGTGTAGCGGCGTGAGTCACAGTCCCTCGGACAATCGCAGTTTTCTGATGTAAGCCATTTAAAGATATGAACTGTTAAAGATAATTATAAGATTTTTACTAGTAATTAACTATTTTATATCCATTTTTAATAACTTACAATAACAAACAAAGAGATGGAAAGTGGTAATCTTCGCTTATAGACAGAAATGGTACTATCTCAAAATACCGACACTGGTCATGGAATCTCAGTCCATGCGTTGCCATTTCTGAAGTTTTCACCTCTAATTTTACTGCCGTATCCCGTATTTCAAACTGAAGCAAGGCATTGCAAGCATTGTTGCTTGATGACAGAAACGAGTAGGATAAAACACAATAGTCACATATCCTTTCAAGTTGACTTCCATGCGATCTTTCTGGAAATTATAGCATTTAATGCTCATAAAGTATATAGTAAATGAATTCGATATAATGGGTTAGATAACCTGATTTCATGTTCATTGCTTTAACATCCGTAAGTATAGGAGGATGAGCCACTCCATCTACTCACGTTTAGCCTTCACGATGCAAGAGATACTTGTGAAGTTACAAGCCCGCTGAGCTTTTACATATGGAACGTAGTATAGCATACAATCGCAGGCTGCCTCCACAGCTTTCACGTAACACAATTGATCGCAGTCAGAATTACGGTAATCTCCAAAAAATGGTAAATGTTGTTCATCATTGAAGAAGCAATTGCGACTGAAAGTAATTTATTTAGATTAAGTCCTACATAAGTTATGAAAGGGCAGTTTCTGCCGTTAAGCAGCTGTGGTCGAATGGTTGTGTTTCGGTTTGAAGGATGGAAAATGGCAGAAAAATTACAAGATACGGAGGCATAGCAACTTAGTTCTTAAAAATAGCAAAGTATGGGGGTATACTCTTTGTAATGTCTGTGGTACTTGTTCATGTCTATAGGCGGCAGTTACCACTTTTTATCAGGTATTTGCCATTTTAATTTTCAATAATCCTCTAGTTTAAGTACATTTCCTATATCACCCAAATTAGAAGGACTACTTAAAATAGAGGATTTTTATCTTTTGAAAGATAAAGTAGCAAGAAAGAGTCCTGTGTCATCGTAAAATTAATTGTAATGAAATTTGGTACTGATCATATTTATATTTGTCTCGGCGAATGCTTTTTGTATTAAATATGCTAATATAATGTCAGTGTTAATTTTAAAGCTCATTTAAAAAACCAAATTAATCCTAGTGAGTTAAGTGATCAAAGTATTTAGTGTATCAAATAGATAATAATAATGATAATTATTCATTTAAATAATTAGAAAAATACTTATAACGTATCAGGTGCCTACCTCGAAGAGGGTAAAGCTCGCACATCCTCTGAGCAATATGTATAAGAAACGTGAATTATGTGAAATGACTCTGTGTAAGGATGCACTAATTTTGTCTCTTCATCTGCTGGAAACTCGTACATATCGTTGATCATTATCTGCAACATTTATTTAACTAATTTCTTTAGTATGCTTTTTAAGCAAGTCCGTATTTAGTAGATTTTTTTTGATAGGTGAAAATGGTTTGGTCACCCCGCCTGCGCTAAGGGGTTAGGTTGGCGAAGCACCAGTGAAAGGTGATAGATGAGAATGAAAACAGGTCAGTTAGCCCATCATGATGAATTCATCAGGAATTAATCATGATAGTTTCCAGGGAGAACCGCGAGGAGGTCGACCTGGTTGGGTATATTGCTAGCAATGAGATTCTGTAGTTTAGTAGATTAGGACCATCGAGTTTACATTTTAATGAAAAAAAAATGAACTAAGTTATATGTGCTTTGTTTATATTTATAGTTATGAGAAGAAGTACAAATAAAATTATTATATATATGGGTATTTTTTTATTTTTTCCTGTGTCTATTGTGATCCTGAAACTTTTGGAACCAAAGCGTCTCGCTAATGGGATACAAGACTCAGTGGTGTATAATATATAGTAAGTTTGTTCATGTCTTTATTTTAAATTTTTAATTATTTTTATATTTAGTTTTTTTTTTGTTTTGTGTCATATAGACTTATATAAGTATAATAAAAAATCTTTGATAATATTATTTAATTATTTTTTAATACATTAATAATAATGTATTAAAATTAACAATATTTTATTTAAATTTACATTGTTAGTTTAATTATTTGCTCCGAAATTAATTATAATAAGCAAGTATACTTACGTAGTAGTTGTAAATGTTTTAAATGAAATAGTAAATATTTAGACACGTGATAAGTAATTCAAACTGATTAAAGTTGGCTTAAATGTTCAATATTGGTACTGCGTTTTCTGGTTCTTATAAAATTTTATAATTACAAAATTAGAAATAGCCGAATGTATATAATGGTTGATTTAGTCAAGTACATTCCACAATGCTTAAAATCGGCATAGTATCTTCAGAGAGGTGGTGATTTTTTAAGAAAACATGTTAGACTTATTTAATAATTAAATTCATGAGGAATAAGATAAAAAAACTGGAACAAAAGTGCAGCCCTAATTACTCATGATAAATAGTACTCGTTTCTCAAATTCATCGAAGTTGAGTTTCAGTTTAAAGAACATGTAGATACAATCTCTTCAAATTACCCGTATTGAACCGGCGTTGACTATGGTTCCGTCGAGCGCGTCGTCTGGTTCGTAGTCCGTGACTACTGTAAGCGGCTCCATTGGGCCAAAGGATTTTACCTTCCAATTGAGAAAATTAAAATCTTTCTCATTCCTGAAAGTATATTGCAATCACTACTATGAAGTTCATCAGTACCAGGGAAGAGAATTTGAAAGTAAAACCTATATCAAACCTATGTCAGCGTAATAATAATAGATAAATAGTATACTAGCGGCCCGTCCCGGCGTCTCACGAGTGGACATTTTTCACTGCTCTGCTCCTATTGATCGTAACGTGATGAAAAGTATACAATAACCTGCCCAGGAGTATGAAGAATAATTGTACCAAGTTTCGTTAAAATCCGTCGAGTAGTTTATAACGAACATACAGACAGACAGACAAAAATTTTACTGATTCCATTTTTAGCATCAGTATCGATCACTAATCATCCCCTGATAGTTATTTTGGAAATATATTTCATGTAAGTACAGAATTGACCTCTTTACAGATTTATTATAAGTATAGATTTAGAGATTCTCATACGTGTATATTCTCGTGTCCTTTTTGATTTATTATTTATTTTTTATTATTAGATTAGTAGTTATTGAAATAATGATGACAATGGCTGTATATTTACCTCCGTTTATTTTCGAAGTAGTATATATTATTGAAGATGCAGCAGTGTCCGTTCGTTGTGAGTATTGGCCTGAATAGACCTCGACAGTGAGGGTACGATTTCCTTTGTAGTATGCATAGTTTTAAAAACCGATCGCAACGTTGGGGCATTAAGTTAATTACCTCTGGTACCTGTAATTGTCTCTTATTGCTTATATTAATCGAATACATCGTAGTCAGTAAAGTAAGAATTTATTACAAACAACACAGTTGCAACATGCGTTCCTAAACAAACATGGGTACCTCAACATTGCTTGTTTGCGCTATTGATATACGCTAGTGGAGTACCAGTGAGGAATAATAGACGATGACTTGACATAGTATATTGCTAGCAATAGGCCTACTAGATTTCATTATTAATCCTCTCCCCCAACCTACCAACCTGGTACAGCTACTAACTGGATATTCTGGAATTGTCTTTTATTACTTGTTATAAAACATATTTTCAGAATAATATCGTATTAATTAACAGTAACAAGCTAAAATGCCAATATACGGACAGTATAGAGGTACCTTAGAAAGGTTTTTTCGTTAGAAAGATTGGCGATCTTGCAGATGCAAATCAGTGATGATATCCAACTGGATGAAATGTTTCAGGGACATAATGGATGCGGTAATTGAGAACTAGTGGATGTCATATCAGAGGCTTTTGCGTACACCGAAGTTGGCCTAGAATCTTTTACCATCAGAGGGCGCCATCTTCTTACGGGGATAGAAGTGGTAGAGGATGTAGGTGATGTCATGAATATATTCTATAGTAGTTGATAAGATGATCAGTAGACGATGTCTGGTTAAAATGATGATGACGACTCACAGTGTATCTATTAAGGTTGATAACCTTCTGCAGTTGTTCCAGACCAGGCGCATCCCATACTTGCAGGGGTACGTAAAAACCCAATAATTGGGGAAGAACACGCTCTAAATCGAACGTAATGTCACCATCTCTGAAACATTGTTAAGGAAATGATACTTCTGAATCTCTATAATGGAATAAAGAATATTTTATCGTTTAAAGAATGATTTATCGACTCGCCACATGTTCGTATCGTTTTGAAAATAAAATACAGCTCATGTTACTTGTTGATAATGTAGTTTTCTATAGATGAAAGTATATTTGAAATTGGTTAAGGACTCGTATTTTTTGAGAGAAAGAAAATCAAACATTTGCTTCTTATAAAATTAAAGAAAATATGTGAAAACTGAAGGTGGGTTTTAAGGTAAGTACTACAAAAGAAACTACGTGCAAAACGCGAGATTTCATCAAAAACATTTAATTTACGCGCTTGAATGAAATTTTATATAAATATAAAGCATATTGTCTTATGGTCATGGCATATAAAGGGCCGGGCCACCCCTTCCTTTCTCGTGTATGTCGTAAATGGTGACTAAGGGAACTTAATGGTCGAGGGATGGGCAGCAGTGTCCCTTTTAAATCATCACCAAAACTTCACTGCGGTTGTCAACTCGCTTGCCAAGCGTGGCAACTACTGCTTACAAAACACCCCAACAGACAGAGGCCTATATTCAGCAGTGGAAAGTTAACTAACTAAATTAGGAAAATGTGATTTACGCGGATAAAGTCGCAAAATATAACTAGTGTTAATTATAATTTAACATTTCGTTTCATAAAAAAACCGAATGAACTTCACTCATCAAAATGTAGTTCTAAGTTGGCTCTATATGAGAGATACAGATACAAATATATATATATATATATATATATATATATATATATATATATATATATATATATATATTTATTTGTAATGAGTGTTTGATAATTAGGTGTAGGTATATTATGCATCACATACACAAGGGTCTTATTAAAATGCTTCATGGAACTGATGGTTATTTGATTTGGTGAACATATTGTAATTGATGGATAGGGCATATTCTTCATCATCTCGTATTGGTTTTCTATGGTGATTCTCGTGGGCCTGTCATTGAAGCGATTGTACAGTAGATAGACGAGTGTCCACGATAGACCCAAGGTGAGCACAGTGTTTACCATCCAAAAACATCTGTATGAATAGAAAACATGACACTTTTTAGAAATAGAAATAGCATACAATTCTGATTTTTACCAGCATTACTTGGAAAGATTAGTTTGACACTGGAACGCCTGATTTCCTTTTTTCATATTTAAGCTTTACCTTCTATCTAGCTAAATGGATTTAACAAAAAAAAAATACTTCTAAATGGTAATGTTATACTGGTAGAGAAAGCTTCTAATGCACTTCTCCGCAATTGCATTTTTGTAATTAATTACTTAGATATTATTGGATTTTTTGGCAATAAATGGTTAAGTATAGTGCTGTTTAGAAGTTTATAGAAACAATACACTGTTAGACAAGCCTTAATGGTTGTTTTCACTATCACCTTTATTAATTTTCCATTAATATTATAACTGCGAAAGTTTGTTGGATAGAGGTTTACTACTCTTTTAAACAAAAGCTACTAAACGGATTTGATTAAATTTTGTATACCTGTAAGTCATATTCTAACTTAGCACAACTAATATTTGATGCACTTATTCACACAAGCGAAATCGCGAGGCACAGCTAATGCGGTGTAAAAATCTCTGCCACAAGTAGCTTAAAACCGTTCTTAATGACAAAATATGGGGTATATTTAACAAAAGAATAAACTTATGAATATAAAAAATATATTCATTAGTGTATTTTAACAACCCCTATTTACTTTTTACCCGCATATGTGCTTTCAGACATCTCTTTCATAACCGAAAGTTTTGCTCCTGATCTTAGGGTGGAAACATTTCTGGGGCAAGCACGGTTCACTCGGCTTACCACGTTAAATACGTGTATAAAAATGTAAACTTATCAAATTTGTCTACTAACCTTGACACAAAATCTGGATATATATAAAAATATTTTAATCCTATGAAGGAGCCTTCCAAACAGAATTTCCGGAATAAATTTCTGAAATTTCCCTCCATGTTCTGCAATGAAAGAACTTATTTGCGATATAATACCTACTGTCCGACTGTGATTGCATATGAACTTAAAATGTAGATATATTTAGTACTATACAATATCATAAAGAACTACATAGTTTCGTGATAATTATGTCAATATATAATTAAAAAATATGTATATACCAATTAGTACATATTTTATTCTATACATGTCCACATTCGTATAGTTAATTGTCACGCAACTGAAACTATTGTTAATAATTAATATCGCTGTGTTTCACTAGTAGGTAGAATAAAATTAGAATGTATTTTTTAATTAATATTCTTTAAAAATACATAACTAACAGCCAATTTCTAATAATGTCTAAAAAAATTTGAGGTTTACATATGAATGGTAATGGCCCATATTACGAAATTATGGGAAGTGGTAAAAATAGTTTAAATTGTACGAAGGACACCGAAGATTTTTGTTTGCTTTAAATTAAATCATGCTGTAGACTATTCTGGTAACTATATTTTTTGTCTCTGGGAATAGATTGACTTTCTTATCACATAGCATTGCAGCAATTATTAGTAGGACAGTGTCATCTCATGTTCATCTATTCTTTTAGAGAGAATTGTAGAAATTTGTTAATTTTTTTCGTGAAACTATTGAACCTTGTGATACAAATATATTTGGCGTCTTACAAATAACAGTAAATTGGAATAATTATTACTTTCTAATTCTCCGTGTAGTCTCGGCATAAAATGAGCCACCTCTCTTTCTCGTAAATGTCGTAAGATACTAAGGGAACTTAAAAGTCGAGGGATGGGCTTTTTAAAACATCACCAAAGCCTAATTACGGTTACCAATCCTTCTGCCAAATGTGGTACTGGTAAAAACCTTCGATAGATGGCTATGTTTAGCAACGGATATTTAACGGCTGATATGATTAGGCATTAAGACGATTTATATAAGCAATGTCAAATTGCAATTTGAAAAGCTATGTTATACATCAGGTTATGAGTTTTATATTCACTTTTCTATATAAGTGAATCTGATTTGAATAAATTTTATGGATGGGTCCAGTTGGCCTACCAAATTGTTCGAAAGGAAAGTGGAAAGGTATACAAAGGACAGGATTTTGACGGCCCAGTGGGTCAGATCAACTCTTCCCTTTAGTTTACGCCTTTGAAACCTCGAAGCTCTGGATTAAATCGATAATGTTACATTTTCACTTACCATTCTGAATATAAATATTAGAAATATATATTTTAGTAAGGAATTAAACTATGTGTATGTTCCGGATACTTAATTTTTTTATAAAACAGATGTTGACGGCTCATATGATAATGCAATGTGGTAATCAGCAATTCTATAGACATGAACAGTGACATTGACATCACAGAATACACTGTGACGCCCACTTCATGTGTTGGCATTCCTGAGGACTAAGATGTTACACTTTTAGGTTTCATCCTTTCAACTCAAACGCAATATAATAGGAACAGCTGCTTGGTAGCAAAAACAAGAGTGACAACAGTAGTTCTTTAAGCAAACGAGCTTCGACTTTAAAGAATTTTTATAAAATTATGATATTATGTAAAAAGACGTATTTACTTTATTGAAGGAAAAAAGTATTTATGAATATTTGAAATAAAAAACGTTAATTAGGAAAAATGTATAAAGTGGTTTTATTGAGTTTTTTTACATGTTCATACAATTTGTATTGGTATTAATAATGCAAAAAACATAACAAAGGTTATATTATCTTAGATAATAGTTTTAAATCTATGAAACAGGCATAAGACGCAGAGTAGTGTAAAATGAATGGACAAAAATACAAAGTTAAGAAGGTATGTCGTAATATACTTATGCATGCACGTACCTACTCTTGATTGAATATGAGGGAAAATCTATTTAATTATTATTAAATATTATATTTTTGGATAAAAAAGATGTAAGTGATCATCTACATTGCATATTAAAAAATAAACAAGACACTTGGGCGAGTTGCACAAAAAATTAAATTATGAATGTATGGTATTTGCCTCTCCCTAGAGTCTGGAGTAACACTTATGTTTAGCATGGACGAAGAAAACGTCAGATGATGTTATTCCATTATGTTGTACGTATTTACATACAATCAATAATATGTTTCATTAATAGTTACAAAAATATTAAAAAAAAAGATTATATGCTAGCTAGTTAAATAATGCGTACTTGCATAAGTTATGAAGTAATTTTAAAAGAGAGAATTCGATGAAATCTATTTATCTAAGTATGTATAGGTTTTTAGAGAAATATTTTTTTTAAATCCTTCAGGCATCAGTATGTAATACGATTGATACGTTATAAAAGGTATGGGTATTTTACTAAACACATATAAGTATGAAAAAATTTCTTTGTTTTACTATATATATTTTTTTTACTATATATATATATATATATATATATATATAAAATAAAAGTTGGGACAAAGGTATATATCCGAGCCCTAAAGATAGGTAATTGTTTGAACAAAGAATAATTAAAACAAAACAAGCTGATGGAATGTAACTTTAGTTTGATTATATTATCTTAGTCATGGATTAGTAATAAAAAAAGATATCCGTGTCGCCTGATAGACATGTGACACAGAAGTGATACCACACTAAGTACTATAACTATCTCGTTTGTCGTATTTAGTCACTTGAAACGTTAACACTAGAACATAGTTCAAGTATTTACATACTCTACAGTCAAATCACGAATTGAATAACAGCGTTGGCCTTAGCTTACTTGGCGCTCTTGGCCAAATTTTTGATAATGCCTCTCCCTAAAGGCAAAAAAAGGTCATGCGACTCTTAACTAAAACGCCAATTTATGAGGACGACCTCTCTCCCTTCTTCCGATGAAGAAAAAAAAAAAGGAATTCATACTAAAGTTATCAACGTCGAATTTGAAATCTCTCATTTCTGGTCGCTTCCACTAGAGCCGGTACTGATTGGTAGTACTCGGCTTCTATCTAAACTATGTGAAAGCTGTCGCGTTTTACAAGCAAACTACCTCATGGACTTAATATATAAATGCTTTACTTGAAAATTTTATCAACGCTGAGTCTTTTTTTCTTTATTATAAAGTATATTTGAACTATGGTTTGATCGATAATAGTTTGCTAAAGTATATAAAGAAAACGCTATCGTAGTGACTGCGCTACAAATACTACAATAGTCTTTTCTTACGCTACAATCGTTTATTCATACAGGTACTAATTTGGCCTCATGTTGATAGCGTTTAGACGCGTAATAAATAATATTATATAATATATCAAAGGATACAGACTATAAAAATAATATATAAAGTGGATAAAATTAACGGAAAATCAAAAGAGAGTGTTGCTGCTTTAAGATAGAAATAAGTCAGTGGGAAAACAAATTTCTTATTAATGTTAATAATTCGAATGGTCTTCTGCAGGGTCCTGGATTCACTGGACCAATCAGTACACTGATGGGGGGTGAATGAAGCAATAGAAGATTAAGGGGCAAGATTATGAGAGTCCAGTGCGTCCGAGCCTACTTACTGGTATATGCATGTAGCAAAGTACCTTGAGATAAATTTTGTTATTTTAATATTGTGTAATATTAACCTACATTAAGATTTTAGATCTTTTAGTAAATATATTCACAAAGGTATTTCGTTATAATAACAAATTGTACACAACATTGAAAACGCCCATATTATAAAAACACGTAAATACAGTCAGCATTAAAATTAGTACAATTTAATAATTGTTTGTATACTTATATAATTTAAATATATAGATTAAATTAGAAATCGCGATACCGGATTATTACAACTGACCGTACAACAAAAATATAACATAAATCAATAAAATATTATATATAATATACACATTTCACGGATATACAATTAAAATGAAATAAAAAATCATTTAAGTACTATAAAAATATCAAGTTATTACAACACACGAATATAATTAATTCATCCTTATTAAACTATTAACAATAATACATCTATTCTCATAAAATGGTAATATTTAAAACACATTAATAAATTTTACAATTAATAATTGAAGAATGTCAATAATATCAATAAAGATAGTATATTAATATTCTTACTAGCTAATAAGTATTTGCAAAAAATTAAGTCCAATTAAAAATAACTGTTATACATTTTGTTTGTGAGTAAAGGTACTGTAATGTAAACTGTAACTGTACTGTAAACTGTAACTGTATACATTGTTGTTGTATCTAATAAATATAATATGGGTATAATGGGTAAATAGAAGTTGTTAAGTATATAACTATTAAGAGTCTCGCAAAATGGAGCATGGAAAACTTATTTATTATAAATCACGTCGAGACCTTCGTGTACATTATACAAGAGGCGGCCTACAAACTTTTAACAGTAGAGGGCACCTCAGCTACTTGCTTAGAACTATTTATGCGACATATTATATAATAAAGTACATATATATTATATAAACAGATATCTATTTTATATTTCTAAAATTTGTATGATTCCGTATTAAAGCAAGCCTTTCAATTACATTATATAGATATTCAAATAATGATAAATATAATTATGCACGTAGTAAATTTGTATATATCAGATAGGTATATTTAATATCAGTATTCAATAAATATCAATCTAGTCATAATTTTATTTAATCTCACATTTTATTGTGCGCTCCGAGTCTTCTTCATCATTAAAATTACTTACTACAAAATGAGTACATCCAAACTTTAATTAGACGAAATTAAAACATAATCCAAATCCAAGCATCTACTAATACATATATAGTATATATATATACATTTGAAAATAAAAAATATACTCTATTTACACAATTATACATTTACAGTTAAACTTATATTATACGCAATTTTATTAATTGAATGTAGGTATTACTAGTCAAATACAAATTTAGTAAAAAAAGCAATTTTATCGAATTATCTTTACACATATATAGTTTTACATACGTTATTAATATCAAAACTTTCAATCAGTCAGAATGTGCGTACCTCTGTCATTGATTCATGAATTTTTTAATCCTAATCACAATGCCAGGAAAATATTAAGACAACAGAATCTATTAATAATTATGACGCAGACCGCATCCAAACGTGTTTCAATATAAATATGCGGTTATATATTCAAGTGGAGTATATAAAGCAAATGCCAGTGCTCAAACAATCAAAGCAATGCGCACCGAGTGAAATAACAATTGTATATATAAAAACCTCTCAAATTGTCTCCACATCCTCAAATTGCTTTTTTGGTCAGTAGCTATTTTACTGTAATGTAGCTTTTAGAAGGAAATATCAAAGATGCCATCTTTGGCTTTCGAGTATTTATTAGACGGGTACTTACCGCTCGCCAAAAATATCGATACACGCGTAAGCAGACGCAGTCGAGTTTTTTTTTTACTTTGAATCGGCGTCTCCGCTTGAGCGGTGAACGCTGGCAAAGACCGGCAACGCGCGACTTAATCACCACGTAAAAGCACCAAGTGGTGCGGCCAGGGTGCCAGGTAGAAATTCAAGCAAGCGCTTCGTCCACGCGCTAAGTCACTGACCGTCAGGAGTCCAGAAGTACATGCCAACGCTGGACCTGGTACGATACAATATATACATATTCTTATTATGCTATCTGTCTATTACCTGTCTAAAGATATAACTGTTGTCTTAGTAGGCAACAGTTATCTCTTAGACAGGTTTGTTAGTACAAGAACCTCATTGAGATTATATCTATTGTCCATGGCATCTAGCATTGTAATCTCTGAGAACTAAGGTGATTTATCGGTTGTGATACTCATTTATTATTAATTTTTATTTAGTTACCTGTTCTCCTTGTCTCTCGCATAATTCCTGCCAGTGCCGCTCTTCTTCGCGGCCAGAGGGGCTGTGTCCCAATGAGAACCAGCCCACCATTTCGTTGCGTTTAACGCTACGTCGCCACCAAACCGAAACCATGAGAGTAACTTCACTCAATTGGAATAAAGCAACCTGATGAAAACGAACAACAATTTAACAAGATTGATTTTAAAACAACCGAATATTAAAGTAAGCTATTATTAACAAAACATATTTCATCTAAAATGTGGCTAATGTGGACTAGTAATTCGAAAATTTGGAAGCCCTAAATCTAATTTTAATAATTTTAAAGTGTACAGCGAGGTTTAGTTTCCTTGAAATGAGATTCTTGAAATCTATTTAGTGTACAGTTTTATAAGATATAAAAAAATTTTAACTTGGAAAACTTCAAGTAAACTTCTATTTGCTATGTGTCCTAGAGCACAGACAGTGACATAGGAAGCAATAGTTTCATCAGGGGTTTTCAGCTTAACAGAAATTAGCTCAATCGTTTGAATTCAAATATTTTTTATATCTTTTTTTTATGCAACTTAGGATGGCAAACAAGCTGACGGCCCATCTGATGGAAAGCGGTAATCGCCTCCTATAGACATGAGCAATATTATGAACATATCAGAGTATACTGTTTTCTCCCCATGCGTTGCCGTTTCTAACTCAGGTGTTATCCCTTTGTGCCCTGTAAATTCACTGCCATATTCCATGCTTCAAACAGCAACACAGTCCTGCAAACACAACTGCTTCACGGTAGAAACACGAATGGGGCAGAGGTGTCCAAACTAGACTTTTGTACAAAGTCTCTCTCTGGTAATTTTTAAGTAACATTACTTGTTATAAAATAATGTTTTTACCTGAAATATAAAAACTTCTTTGTAAAGCGGATTGGACTGAGCGCGACGCGTAGTAGACTTGCACCGTCCCATCTCCATGCCGAGTGAACTGATAAGGCACAGTTTTACGTACGTGTCCGGCGCCTTGTTGGGCGACAACTTTCGAAAGTGTGTGCCTTTTATCACCTATTAGGTAAAAATGAATCATCATTTTTTATATACGCTAAAGTTTCGTATGACTCACTTAAGGTACATTTATTCTTGTTATGAAATAGGATTGCATGGTGTCGATCTTGAACTCACTGTCCCTGAGTTTGGCCCTGTGTTCCCGTTAGATGCGCAGAATACTTTAACTCGCACTATATAATCAAGCTGGTAGTGTGTGCTTAAAAAACCGCTGGTGTTTTAATAATAATAAATAATAATAATAAACTCTTTATTGCGCACAGTAGAGATGTATACAAGGAGTATTTATACAGAATGTGCATATACAAAAGGCGGCCTTATCGCTAAAAGCAATCTCTTACAGACAATCCATCTTCATCAGGGAAAATATTTGAATGTCATAAATATTTACCGTCGTTATTGTTTATGGAAATTAGTAAACAGTTTTTTCATTTTTTGTTTATGTTATACTTATGATATAACTTAGCTCTATGTTTGTACTGATTCTCATGATAATTATTTTATTCCCATGTTGGTTACCATATGAATTTTGATAACATTGAAGTCGCTTTCGACAAAAAATGTTACAACCAAATACTCACCTCGACAGAGAGATGTCCAGTAGTGGAGTTATATTGTAGGCCCAGCAGCAGTTCTGGCGTGGATCTGGTGCTGCAGCAGGAGGAGGCGGAGTCAGATCTCGCAAGGCTGCATGCTTCGCCGGCGCCCGGTCCAGCGCCGCTTGGTGTTGTCACGGTCACGATGGACGACGGACTTGCCAGGACACCGGTTATTGTGTGATTTGAATCCAGTTTTGGTAACTGATGATACAAAAAGCAAAAACAAATATATATTATTTTATGCAAGTAGTAATTATGTATGTAAGGAATAACTGCTGTGTGAAGGGGGAAAAGGATTGTTAGTAATAGGACCAAACAGCCATCGGGTGGGAGGGGGGGGGGGGAAGGGATTGTTAGTAATGGAGACTAAGAATCCCATTGCTAGCAATATGCCCAACCAGGTCAATCTCCATGCGGTTCCCCCTGGAAACTATCATGGTTAATTTCTGATGAATTTACGATATATATATATGAATTTATCATGATGGATTAACTGGTCTGTTTTTATTCTCATCTATCACCCTTCATTCGTGCCTACTAGTGTATACCGTTAGCGCAGACGGGGTTGCCATTTCATTTTCATCCAATAAAAAAAAAACAGCAATATATCCTATTAGATTGACCTCCACGCGGTTTTGTCTGGAAACTAGCGAGATCGACTTAACAAGGTGTATTGCCGGTAATGGGGACTAGTACCATCGTTCCTATGAATGATATTCTCTCTTCTCCTATCAAAAGCTTGTATCGTGCTCTAGATCTCCCTGTTTAGACTCAAAATATTAGCAAATAATGGAGTTTTGTTATAAGTACTTTTACCTGCATAGGTGGTTGATGATGTTGTCTTGGCATTAGTTGCAGCCACAAACTGTTTTCTAGCTCGAAATTAAGTGTTGCGAAGCTAACTGCCGCTTCACCGAGCAGTCTCTGTCTGCGCATGCGCTCGCAACCGTAAATGCGTATACGCAGCCCCAGACCATGCACATCCTCTGTTTGAAAGTGTCATTAATCGCGAATGAAATGTTTGAATGATTAGAAATGTAATTACATTTTATAATTATGTACATATTTTATTTAATTAATTTATTAGTTATTACAGCAATTTGCGTATGAGGCATATTACTTCCAAATCTTACTATTTTTACGCCTTAGATAAACAGAATTAACTGTCTATATTATTCTATGCTTAATGTATTCCGTGATACATTTAGCACTATGACCTCTATGGTACCCTTCTTATGATATCATACCTGAGGTTCCTGTAATACACCTAACCCAGTAATTTCGTGACCAACGTCGGATTTCGGAATCCAACGTTTATCATTATATAATTTAGTTTGCTCATTGCAATTTCTTATTGAAGTCTATAAAATAAAAAAGATGCGTTTGCTCTGTAAATTTTACCAGACCAGTTAAATTTAAAGAACAAGAAACATAATTTTCATCTCTCCTATCTACTTTAAATGCTATTGATTTACCTAAATCAAAGCCAAATGAATGTACAAAGTGATGTTTTCCACATACCTGGATTAATTTTGTGTAAAACAAAGCTCTCCATATATTGTGGATTTTCGCCATTTCGTATTTTGGATTTAAATTTTTGTTTCTTCAATGGGAGTAGTACAATTCTAACCTGAAAATTGAATGTGATAAATTAAAAATAAATTTGTTAATATTATTGTTATTAATTTATATTTATTTATTTATTTTATTCCCAAAGACGTCAGGCAGGCGATCGATCGTAAAATCAAAAGTCAAAACCTTGGGTAATATATCTATAAATTTATCTAAAAACATATATATACCAGAGGGAGACTTTGTACAAAAGTCGATTGCTTGGGTACCTCTGTCCCATTCGTGTTTCAACCGTGAAGCAGTTGTGTTGGCATGACTGTGTTTCGGTTTGAAGGGTGGGATATGGCGTGAATTTACTGGGTACAGAGGAATAACACCTGAGTCCTCAGGAGTGGCAACGCATGGGGAGTATCATGGGCGAAACAGTATACTCTGTTATGTCCATGGTACTGCTCATGTCTATAGGCAACGGTTACCACTTTCCATCAGGTGGGCCGTCAGCTTGTTTGCCATTCTAAGTTGTATAAAAAAAAAAAAAAAAAAAATATTACGCCGATCCAAAATTATTGGGATCAGATCAGGAAGATGGTGACTAATTAATTTCATGGTCAATAGGTTTCAAGAAATACATCTGAGACAAAGAGGGATGAGGGGACAATTCCAAATTTATAGTGTGGTCTAACCTGACTTTGCAGAATCTGTCCTTGAGCTTTTTGAGGTAGCGAACGCGCCTGCAGTATGTGGACCGTCATACTACGCACTGGTGCGTCGTACAGAAGCGTCAGTTCGACAGAACCGCGTTCTTGAGAACTGCTGCTTTCACCACACAAAAGGGATGTGTCCTGGAAGCATCACGTGAATGGGTAATTTACAAAAATATAATATGATTAAAATACTTCTGCCTCGAGAGCGTAGGCTTAATATCGCTAAATCTCTACATCAGTTGAAACATTGAAATGAGTCAGGTAAATGATTATCATCATCATATCAGCCAACTGTCCACTGTTACACATAGGTCTCCTCCATAGACGTTGGGGGGTTTTGCCAGTAGTAGCCACGTTTGGCAGGTGGATTGGCAACTGCAGTTAGATTTTGATGTAAAAAGTAGTCTATATTATTTTCCATTCCGTACATTGTACCAAATTTTATAGTGCTTGGTTTAGCCGTTATAGTATCTAAGAGATAAGAAACAAATTTACTTTCACATTCCTAATATTAATGATTCTTAGGTCTCTAATACATATTAATATAATAATAATAGATTGTTTGTTACCAGAAATAACTATTTCGTTGTCAGGATTATACAATACACTATTAGACCCTAATGTGGACCACCTGGAAACCATAATTAATTTCACAGATACACACTCTAAAATTAAAGTGGTCACGTATATTGTGGTTTCAGAAGAGCTTCTTCCCGCGAACGCTTAGGTTGTGGAATGATCTTCTTGCCGAGGGGTTCTTTAAAATGTGCGTAATAAGGTTTTTTAAAGGTCGTCAACGCGCGCGCGATATTCCTGATGTTACAGATGTTCATAAGTTACGGCAACCCTATTTACCATTAGAGGCGCCGTATGCTTGTTTGCGACCATAGTAGTAGAATTATAAAAGAAATTCGACCGAATTCATCACGTTAGGTGCTCTTTATTTATCATCCTACAGAATTAATCGTCATCACAACTTATTATAAAGACACTTTAGCCTTTGTCTATGTTCTTTTAAAGAAGTCTCGTTCTAGTCAAGTACAAAATAAGTCGAACTGGTAAACAGTTGTCAATTTACATTATGAACTATGACATCACTATCGACGCTACTCTGCGCCTCCAGTGTGTGTATGTATTCTGCACGTTGCGGGATGACGTCGTCTATCCTGGTCTCCCTCAGTGTGGTCTCACGGAGAGCCGTCTCCACCAATTCCACCTCCAGCTTTGCCGGAGCTAAGTTCTCGTTCTTCTCCTCGTAGTGGCATTCCACAACTTCTTCCTTATCCTGAAAGACCAATTAACCAATAAATATTTGTTAGGAAATAATTTTACAATCCTCATTATAAACTTTGGAAACCAGTTTTAAACTAATTCATAAAATGAATTTGTTGTGAATGAGATATATTCTGCGCATTGTAGCAAGGAGACTGTAATATTTATTTATAAGTGAATTATAAATAAATTAGATTTAGTGATATTTTTAGAGTTTAAGTCAATCTAACAATCACTTGGAATAATTCTAAGAACAAAACTGATTTCGCTTCAAATTCTTTTCTCCTACATTCTTCACGACTCTGGAACGCGCTTCCTGATATCTTTAAGAGACTACCGCCTAAACCGTCTTTCAAAAAAAACGTTCACGCTCACTTTTATACTTTATCCATGCAGTAAGTGCTTTATATTATTCTCAATTTCGTGTATAATATAGTATATATCATATATGTGTAAGTATATTTGTTATTTATATATATTTATTTGTTTATATATGTAATTTGAGTATGTATGTATATCAATAATGACTAGTACCGCATTCGAGTATTCTGACATTTTCCTATGGTTGACTGGAAGAGAATGCTTTTAGCATTAAGTCCGCCATGTACACATATTGTATTGTATTGTAAAATCCTTATTGTACATAATTCATAAATAAATACATAAAAATCTTTGGAATATTATTTAATTACGTCTTTGGAATATTAGACATATGTAGCTATCAGAATGGTACAGCGCACATAGGAAAAATCAGTATAACATATCGATCAATATAGCCAAGCAGATTGAGGTAATACAAAGGTACTTTTATATGGCAAAAAATATTTATTTACTTGAGTTAATGTATATACATAAAATCTAAATTATTATTCTCGATTTCCATGTATATTTTGTTTTTAAGCATATAGGGTAAATAAATTCTTAGTTCTATGTGTCTATCTGTATATACATTGGCAAATATTTTACAGTAGAAACTCCTTTTTAAATTTGAATTGAGTGAACCAGTAAACACTGCCTTTGTTTGCAGAGTGAAATTAGTTGGATGATTGGGTAACTTAAATATTTGCTTACCTAAAAAGTTACTAACTTGTGAGTTGTAAAACAATAAAGAATGCGAATAAAACTATAGCAAATCTCCTGACCAATAGAGTGATAGTAAACTATATCGCCCTCTTATCATCATACAATAATAGGTTGTTAAAAAAGTAACTTCATATCCAATAAGATTTCATATTATATTTCATAGGAGTTATCTAAATTTTCACCTTTTATTTAATTCACTTAGAGGATATTTTTTTTTAAACCTTGCGTAGTACAACTATGTTCTACTATTATTTATATGATGGTCTTACGTGCAAAATGTTTCAAATATTTATGGTGATTTATTTAGAGAAATGTCAATCAGTCAGTATTAGTACGGAGTGTTAGTAAGAGCTTTACGTCTTACAAGACAGATGTAAGCCCTTAAACGTTTTTATTGTATGAAAAATATCAATTTAAAATATTGATTAGGTTATGGTCACTGCTAACTTAGTTAAATACCTCTTTAGGTAGATACTATTTTGAAAATATTTGTACATAAAAATATTTACATCACCTTAAAAACCTTCTTTTCCTTGCTTTTTTCCGACACGTAGTATAAATTATTTTTTTTAACTACTAAGTGTCTTAGTATTACGACTTACAATTGAACTGGCGTGTTACAATTTTCTTCGTATTTTTTTTGTAAATGCCTACTAAATAAGTACGTACTATGTACAAATAAGAAAATCTAGAATGTATCATGCATTACGCAATATTTTTAAATAAAAAAGATAAAGGCATGCATCGATAAATTACAATATTATATTTTAAAGGATGAGATCGGATTGGCTGCCTGTTGTCTAAGAGAAATAAACTGACACATCTCCTTTAAATTACTAGAATTCTACAGAATTACTCGAAGAAAAAATTTTTACACAAAATTTTATATTAGTTGAGCGCACCAAAGTCTACACATTAATTATTACTAATTAATTAATGTTAATATTACAGTTAGCATAGCATGCACATTTAACAATATATCTTGTTTCTAGCCACCTCACCTGTTGTATGCGCAAGCGCAGCTCCTCGTCCGAGTCGGAGGCCTCGAATGTGAATATGCGTTCAGGGTAATGGATCGGTTTCGACAAAGCATCTATAACACAGACGTACGGACAACTTCAATCGATATAGCCCAGTGTTTATATATAATTATATAGTGAAAACTAAGCTTTATCTAAGCTATTTAGCAAACTATAAAAGTATGATTAATTTCCTATAAAAATTTTAAAGTCATCTAGACGTTCTAATTCTAATAGAATAACAGCTAAGGGACATAATAAGTAGGTACACGGCTGTAACGCCTTGGCTTGTTGACTGCCCTTGAAGCTACATAAACGCTACAAACACATCAATAATATAGTATGTACTATCTATTCTAGTTACTAGCTTTAAAAATGTAATGTACCGCAATTCTAGCACGCAATAATATGTAAGAATTAAATAGTGACTTTTTTACCACAGTTTTCTTTAATATTGACAAATAAATATAAATTTAATTATTATGAACTCTTTTAAGGTATGCTAAACCTTGATAATGTATAGACCTGAATAGAATATTACCTATTAAAACAGAGATATATTAAAAATTTTAATATGTACCTAGACCCTAAATTAAATTACAGTAAAATGAAATTTTTGAGTCCAGAATGCAATAATTTAAAAAATATTACTGACCAAACTGAGCATTGTCGAGTGGGAGACAGGGAGCAGCAACGCGCGGGTTTACCGCGAGGATGTCATCGCAACATTTGCGGCCAAACACCGCGGAGTAGCACCATCGCCTTCCAAGGAATAGTAGCACCACCAAAACCACACCAGCGAATGCCGCTACTGCACTTATGTACGCTGTAGCCTCCACTGCACAACAATCGATATAATTATTGCTAGGTTCTTTGTGTTAATATCGTCGTAGTATGTTTACAATATTACCATTAGCAGGATTGATGACGCCAATATTGGCCACCATTCTGGCTCAGCCGAGAACGGCGGCGCGCATTTCTGCGCTTCGCGCGTTCTCGCTACTGACGATTACTTCGCGCAATGCACGCCCAAGAGAGTTTTTTTTGTTAATATCGCGTCGGATTTGTGATGTTGATATATTATTGAAGAAAATTAGGACGTGCTAACTCGGGTGGGCTGTCAAACGCACGCATGCGTCGTCGACGAGGGGCACGGCGGGGCGTGTGGAACATTCCGAGTCGCTATAGGACGAAGTCTCGTACCTCAGGTACAAGTATCTTCATACATATTTTAATAGCTATAGAACACGGTCCTCAAGGCCGAGGACAACACGTGCCCTCTGAGGATTATAATAAGGTTCCCGTTACATTATGATATTTATGAATAAACAAGAAAAAGTGTAAAAAGGTATATCCTGGTCAAGGTGTGAAAAAAAAACCGAAAACGTTAAAAAGGAAAAAGTTCCAAAACCTTTAAGAATAAACTAAATAGTGTGTAACTGTCTCATTGATTTTATCATAAAAATGAAGCTTATTTCACTTAGATCATAATAATGAATCGATTGACACCATACTTCACGATACCAAATGAAAAGTTTGTCACTACGCTGGAACAAACGTAAATACAAAACATACTCGTACATACATAATCTGCTAAAAACATACCCCCTTTATGTTTAATCGCAGTAAATATTTAAATGCCTAAAAATGGTAACTGACGTCTATAGTTACAAACAGTTTTAGGAACATCTAGAAAAAAACCTTTTTACCAGAGGGAGACTTTGTACAAAAGTCGATTGCTTGGGTACCTCTGTCCCATTCGTGTTTCAACCGTGAAGCAGTTGTGTTTGCATGGCTGTGTTTCGGTTAGAAGGGTGGGATATGGCGTGAATTTACAGGGTACAGAGGATTAACATCCGAGTCCTCAGGAATGGCAACGCATGGGGGGTATCACGAGGGAAACAGTATACTCTGTTATGTCCATGGTACTGCTCATGTCTATAGGCGACGGTTACCACTTTCCATCAGGTGGGCCGTCAGCTTGTTTGCCATTCTAAGTTGTATAAAAAATACCTACATACAGCTTGCATAAAAGAAAATTTGTTCTCAGACAAAACGTGCATCGCCTGCAGAGACTATTGGCATATATATTGGTCTACTTATACCACGCTGTGGATGTTTCTCAGTTTGTTGTTTTGAAAGTTTTCCCTCTCCTACCTCACACTTACTGTGCTTTGCTTTCTTATATTAAATCTCTTGTGGTATGATAAGGAGTAGTGACATTGTTGTTTCACATGGCCACCATAAAGAAGTATCAGGCGTACCAGAACTTTTTTTTATACAACTTAGAATGGCAAACAAGCTGACGGCCCACCTGATGGAAAGTGGTAACCGTCGCCTATAGACATGAGCAGTACCATGGACATAACAGAGTATACTGTTTCGCCCATGATACCCCCATGCATTGCCATTCCTGAGGACTCAGATGTTATTCCTTTGTACCCAGTAAATTCACGCCATATCCCACCCTTCAAACCGAAACACAGCCATGTTAATATCTACATTCTATGTATAGAATATTGCTTTTCAGTTAAAATTGCTTACCTTCGTTAGAAATTATATATTTTGGGTATTTTCATAAAAATATAGTCGAATTTACTTTTTATATCATAAGGTCAAAATCAAGGTTCGTTCATTAATGTTTTGCAGTTTCAGTACGAAGGTTATTTATCCGATGATTTTCTGCAACGCCTATCGATTTATTGATTACTGTTTGTCGGATCAATCAATAAAATACATGCGCCGTCTAGGTTCAAAATGCTGATGCATTTACGCGTGGAAAAAAGTAGCGTAAATTGTAAAATGCGCGTGTAACATTTTGTAAAAGATAAAATTAATAAAATCCATTTCTGAACAAGAGAACATACAATCAATTAATGCTGTTCAAGTTTTTAAGCGACGGTTACCACTTTCCAACAGGTGGGCTATCAAATTGTTTACTATTCCAGTGCGAAATACTAACACCTTTAATAGAAGCCTTACTTAAATCTTGAATTTTAAACATCTTAATAATGTATTTAATATCAAACGACAAGTGTTAAACAAATGTAAGGGACGCATCGCAGTGGCGAGAAATTTGTCGTTCTAATATAGGATAGTATTTAAAAGAGTACAAGAAGGATTTCTTGCAATTTTTCTAATGGAAATTTATCATAAGAGTAAGATCAGGCCTATATAAATATCTTCATATGTATTTAATTTGACCGACGTGCGTCTATCATCTGTTATTTGAAGGTGCCTTTTGTGAACCTATTTTTTAGTTTACCTATTTTAGTACCTAGTAGATAGATTATCATTATCATATCAGGCATTAAATGTCCACTGCTGAACACAGGTTTACCCTCATTGGGAGGTTTTTTCAATAGTTGCCACGCTTGGTAGGCTGGTTGGCAACTGTAGTTAGGCTTTGGTGGTATTTTAAGAGAAAAATTGCCGCCCATCCCTCGACCATTAAGTTCCGTCGGTCATTTGTTACGACACCTAAAATATATCAGGATAGAGATACCTAATGTAAAGTACTAAATCAATAAAACTCGGTAATAATATTTTGAAAATGTTTTTTTTATTAACACTTACATTTTTACAGCGCTCCTAGCCAACAGAGTAATACTATAAAATGAATCGGTGTAAAGAACTGTCGAACGCAAAACAATGTTAGTTCTACAGTGTACGTTAAACAAACCGCTTACAAAGATCGGATCATTACAATAATATATCATCAACGACTATTGTCAGTGAGATGTACATCGTTCTCATCAAACAAGCACAGAAGGTCACCCTAAAGAAACGAACTTCATTTAAATCTATAAACATTTCATATAATTTAGATTTATTAGTCGCTATAATGTTATATTTTACTTTTGTAACCATTATTATAATGTTATATGTATTCGTTACGAAAAATTGAAATGAATCTCCCCACTTGGTCCTTCTATCTGGCCGGTGGCGCCGCAGTCGCGCGACAGCCTGCCTCGGCGCGCGTCCGGCTGTCCGCCGCCCCGCCTCGTCCGCCGTCCGGTCCCGGCTGGTCCCGTCCGGCCGTGCTCGCTCCCCGCCGCGCCGCTACACGATACTTCACATTCTATACCTAACTACGACCGCTCTCGTAGAAGAGCCAAGTGGCGATTAAAACAAGATGACTCTATCATAACTGTATAATTTTAAAAATTTCTAATTACGCTTTCCTACATTTTGTTATTATCTTTTAATTAAGAAATAAAATCTTACGTAATTACCATGAGCAGCCTATTTTAATAAATTTGACGAAATTCGCTAATAATCTGATTATTTTATAAAAGAAAAGCGTCGTGTCCGAGCGCGGTGTCGCGCGACTCGGCTCGCGATACCGCTGCGCGCCGGCCGCTCGCAGCGCCGCCAGCGCTGCCCACAGCGCCGCTTCCAGCGCTGCCGGCGCTACCAGCCGGCCGGCGACTGACCACAGTGACCAGATACAAACGAACAATAGTCGACGGCAGTGCTGTATGAACGTGTACGGGCCGCGGCGAACACTACGCCGGGCCGCACCTGTAAGCGTTCGCGACTGTGTATGCTTTATTTATCTACGTTTACAATTGAAAATACGGCTTCAAAATTTCAACTACCTACCTAACAGTAAGCAGTAGTACACTAAAACTCAGGCACTCCACATCGACCTCTCATACACCATGCACCCGATCGAATCTTCAACTAAACATTATATTCACTCGAAAAATTCAACTTAATCTAATTTACTTAAAATACAATAATAATAATAATGGTTTCTTAACTGTTAATTTTACAACAAATGCTTTTCGTTGGCCGCCGAGCACGGAGCGCGGCGGGCGTCATACTTTTGCCCACTCGATTCACGAACGATGAACTACCGCTAAACGATAATTTATTACTTATTACATAAGTATGTGAAAAACAATTTTTATTAGTATTATTTATTCTATCTTATAATGTCATCAGTGTCACCGGGGCGTATTCTAGTGTAACATGAAGTCCGAGCCGGCGGCCGCTGCTGGCGCCGCGCCCGCGATCCGCCGCGCCCCGCGGCGACATTCGCCAAACGTAGTCAGAGGTTCAACATATACTCAAAGAGATTCATCAACTTGTCACGTGGCATTCGAGATACTCAAATTACATTTTAAACAATTTCAATACAAAAATAACATGATTCATGATTTAAAAATAATGTGTGTATAATATCTTTTTTTATCATCACATATATCCATCATTCTCCACTGTGCATATATACATACATAGTACATAAAAACAATAATGAATAGTGAATGCGCGGGCGGGGCCCGGCGCAGCCGCATCCCTCGGTCACGTTACGCGATGAAACGAACATCATAATAATACATAACACTCGACAGGTACATACACAGGTGCCCCGTGCGGAGCGATGCGGTAACAAGCAGTGAGAAGCGTACACGACAGCGATTACACATATACCGGAACGGCACCGCAACCTCTGTCAGTCTGGTACGAGTACGAGCACAGATCACATACCCCCTAGTACAGTAGGCGCTTACTGCATACTATTATACCGGTTAAACACAGATTTACATTAGCCCAGTGACTAACTTTAAACGGGAGAAAAGTCAGCGCTGACTCGGTACTGTTCGTGCAAATTCAGTATAGCGCTGTGCGTCAGAGCTGACTTAAATATTCCCGTTGTGTATTTGGAAGTCAGTGCACCGTTGATGTGTATAACTGAATGTAAATCTGTATTTATATTGGCGAGTCTGCGGGGCGGTACGTTACGAAGCGTGAGCGCACGTCTTTAGAATGTTTTTAGACTGACACAGTCGTCCACACATCACCTAGTCATGCATGTATTGTACAGTATAGCCGCCGCAGCCGCCCGCGCGTCCCACCTCTAAGGGCTATGTACTCTGTGGGCATAGAACACAAATGAAGTAGTTATGTACGCAGTAACTAAGTGATGCACGACGGTGTGGACAGTGGTCGGTGGTGTTTAATAGTAAGTCTCTTGTTCGAGCCATCCGCCCGGGTTGCGGCGCAGGTAGAAGCGCCGGATCTCGTCGTAGATGAAGATCGAGAGCATGAACGGAATAGCGGGCAACCACCACACGAACCTGACGGCAAACGTTACATGTTATTAATTCGAGTATTGTTCTTTTTTGACAAGTTCTATATTGAGAGTTACATATTTCAAATTTGGAATTGGGAGTTCCATATTCAGAATTATAGATTTTCTAGTTTGAAATAAACGTTGTCTATCTCATTATCTTTTAGAATACTAACATATAGTGAAGTATGATTTGTTATATAAAATAAGATATAATCAAAATGTAGTTTATTCACACAAGCACATCAATCTATAGGTTTTTATGCCAGAATATCTTGCGTTAAGTAAAATAAAACTAGACCTGCACCAATTTAGATATTTTTTTTTCGATAAGATTTTAATCAGTAAGTTTTCAATTTATATAAATGCTGATTAATAAATTTATATAATTTTAAATTTAGGAGGATACTCACTTGAGAGGATACATCCTGAGACCTTTGTCCATGCCAGGCGTATACGACAGGAAGGCGGCCAGAGCGGTTTCAAAGATGAGGCCGAAGTTGAGTGCCCAGTTGCGCATGCCCTGGTGGACGATCGAATTGCGACGGGTCTTGCAAATAATCAAATCGGCCCATTGTACAACGACGATCGACACGAAGAAGGCTGTGTGGCAAGTGAACTCGAGGGCTTTGCGATCCCGGTATGTCTGCAAACGTTCAAATTTAGTCAGAATAGGCACACTTAAAGTAAAATTTGAAATTAAACAAAAAATATCATAGAAAAGAATATAAATGTTAAGAGGCGAGATTGTTAAATATTTAAATGTAATATTATAAAGGATAAGACAGTCAGACAGACATATATGATTTAAGAGGCTAACATTTTGAATGTTGTTCATATATAAGTGAGTTTCCATTTAATATGTTAAAAAAATATAGACAAAGGTCTGTTTGTTATTGCCAGTAATATTTTCTATAGAGATATTATAAATTTAGTGGTACTGCGTAAAATCTACAGTTTTTACTAAAAACATAGTCTCGTAATTCCGTGTTAAGCTGAGAATTAACATTGTAATTTCTAGATTTTTTTTAATTACAAATTTAATATGGTCAAATTAGTACATACCCATTCCTGTCCATAGGAGTCAGTCAAGTCGTTGATAGCCTTCGAGTCCCATTGCTTCCTGATGCCGAAGAGTTTAAGTGGGAGGAATCCGTTCTCAGCCATTATCACGAAGTACACGAAGAATCCGGCGGCGGCTTGGATCATACCGATTTGCCCATAGGCCATCGAGATAAGCCTGCCAATCCCAATAAACTCGTGTCAAATGACTACATTAAAAGGTAAAGGAAAATAGAATTAATTAATGTTGTGTTATAGTTTAAAATCTATTAATACGATATGCACAAGTTGAGCTAGTGCGTGATATTCCTTTGCATTTACTAAGTTGCTTGAGTTACTGATCAGTCATATTTAAAAGGATATATTGTTATTTAAATTCAAATTTTTGTGCTAAATTATTGATCAGTAGTTCTTAGTGTGAAATTATAATGTATATTGAATAACTCGTGTTGTTATATTATTAATTTGTTATGTCGCAATGAAAACCAAATGGAAACATCAGTATATATATTGTGAACATAAATTAATAAATAGTTAAAAAAATCAACTTATGTTTAAACTGGAGGTAGTAATATTAATTTTTGAAATATTTTGAATAATATACATACTCAAAATACATATATTGTTTATCAAAAGTAGCCATGATTTTTTAAGTTAATTTTCTTTAAATCTAAATCTTCACCCTTGTTAAATTTAATAAACAATATGGTAAATCAATTCAAAATCAATTTAACACGATTGGCCCTTTGTACCAATTTGATTTTCACATAGCGATTATGTAATACTTACTTATTTAACATAACACCCAACATGCAGAATTTTATATGTTCATAGCAAGCAAGGTTATAGCAATATAAGTTGGTTACTAGCGAAACTCATTAGAAACGTAACAAATTCCAAATAAAAATTCTATAACATTAAGAATTTTTGTTACATTTTATATTTTAATTTGATAATGGAAATTTAAAGTTATGTTTCTAATGTAATAAATAAAATTATAGGAACATAGAATATTGGAGTAATAAGGCAAATAATAGACAGCTTAAATTAAGAGTCCTAGTTGTGTGTGTGAGGCGTGGAAGCTATTGTAGTTAGCGAGTGATAAATCAGCACTTTATCTACGTGCTATACATAATATAGAAATATATAATAATATATTAAGAAAAAGAAATTACATATACTATAATGTAATAAAAGTAATATAAATACCGCTTCAAATAATAACGAAGAACTATAATCTAATGGCTCCATGTCACCTAAATCATTCCGTAATGTTTATTTTTCACTATGAATCTACGGACTAATACGACACGTCACACAAATTAATCCACTAGTGCGTTGTCTATGACGAAGACTACACGATACTCCTCTAATTCAGTGTTTTTCAACCTGTGAGGGGGGGGGGTACGAACTGAAGGGGGTCACGCTCGCAAACTAGATAATATCATAGGGTTTTTAATTTAAATGGGAAGGCTGTTTGTTTATTTAAAAATTCCTTGAATCGTAGTTGCATTTTTGAGACGCAATTATGCAATTAACTTTCTAAATAGTGTTCATTTTCCGTCTTAATTTTTATGTAGAATGTAATACTGCCTGTAGATCACCTGCGAATATCTTATATAGTGTTAACTTTCAACTTGATATCTTTAATATCACCAACATACTTTTATTACGGTATTAGGGGGATATAAAATCTATATGGGAGGAGTCGATAGAATTTTTAAGTACAAAGTAGTCGTATAATCAAAAAGGTTGAAAAACACTGCTCTAATTTGCTCACTAAACGTGCATTTTAATTAACACTGTTTTTTTTTTCACTATTTTTGAAACATGGAAGAGTGAAGATCAAAGAAGTAGAATAAAGATAACTAACTGCTCTAAATCTATGGTATATATATATATATAAAAGATAGACTTCTATGCAATATTTAGAAATCTATAAACTTGTAAGTAAAAAAGCTTTTCTTGGCGTTTAAGAAAAAAATTAAATACTATTCATTTGTATATTTATTTTGTATTTAAAATTATACCACAATACCCAAGTAGGTATATTGCTATTTGTCGTTGTCAATTTTGAATTAATTGATGAATTTCAGTTTTAAATCACCACCATTATTGCCAATTGCTTAGTGCTGTACTCTTATATTATTATCACTCTTCCACATCCAGTATATTCTTGTCAACGTTGGACATTATGAGTAGCCTCACTGTTCAAATTTCAAATTTACTTTCGCTTGAACAGTGAACACGGCTGCGGACATCACTTTAAATACGCAGGAACAATTGCATAGCGAACTCGCTAGTGAGACCCAGCGGCACCAACCACCTGTGTTGCCAGTACGTAACAAATGCATGCATTACTTCAAACGGGGCTCTCACTAACAAATCAGCGTGACGTTTCTGGTATTTATCGCGAGGTTACTTGAGAGTGGGCTAACAACAGTGTTAACACCCATATAATTAACTAGAAGCGTCGGCACGCGCGAGCGGCGAGCGGCGAGCGCGGCAGGACTGTGGGTGCGAGGCGAACCTTCTGTTGACGAGGTTGTCGCGGTAAGGGTCCCGCGGCTGCCGCTTCATGATATCGGACTCGGGCGCCTCGTACGCCAATGATATAGCAGGCACCTTCGGTAACACCAAGCAATCAGGACAAACCAACACGCGCACACGACGGCGCACTCGCGGCTTATATATACATAATAAATATACGCACACATCCGACGGCAGAGCCGCATATAAAACGCACTACAACTAGCGGTATCAGGAAACAATTATTAAAAAGTTAGCAGTAAGACTAGTTATTGATTTACTTATTTATTACGCATAAATTAGCTATAAGTAGAGGTAAAAATAGAAAAAAGTGGCGTGATTAAATTTAAAAATTACGACAGCTTTACCTTCCTTAATAAGAGACTTAGTACAAAATATAATTCGAAATACTACACTAGTGATAGAAGTTACAAATAAAGGTTAGCAGCGTTTGAATAACATTGTTTATTATAAATAGTATGTATAATACAAATTTGTGTAACTGTTGCCTATGGATAGATGATATTAGCCTAACGGTAAAATATACGAAAATGTGTCGTGGTGAAGCTTGTGATAAAGTAAGTAAACTGAATGATGGCGATATCTTGTGTTGAAATAGTAGTGTCATGGTATACATGGAGATATGAGAGGTAACAAATGAGATATAAAGAAATACGGTATAGGATAAACAATATAATCAGAATAAAACATGTAACGCTAATAAAATTGTAAGAGGAACTCTTTCGCGAATACCAATTATAAATTTGGTATTTTTTTTTAATTATTGATAAACGATTTAATCTCGTATACAATTTTATTAGTTTTCATAAGAAAACGTTAAATTCATAGGGTACACATGCACGTTAGACAAATGACAGAGACAGAGAGACACCGAACACTTACCTTCCAACAACCACTCACAAGACATTTAAATTACCAATAAGTCCACCAAAATAATGGAACAATGTGTTCGGACTCCATGTGGTCACAGCACAACGCATTGTTCCATAACCACATCAATCTAAATACGGTTAAAGGAAAGGAGATTTGTTAGTATAGAAAAGAACGTATCAAAAGACAACGCAAGGCAAAAGTTAGGAGCGGTGCGATGGTCGCCTTCAATACACATAGAGAGTGAGTCGTGTACCTACAGGACACGTGTCCACACACGCAGGCAACAACCAAACTTTAATATTGAAGACTAACTTACACGTGGTATAGCAAGCAATTAGCGGATAGAATAATATCTTTGAACGAGTGCGGATGCCACTCGTGATGTTTTACCTCTCGTTAACGAGTTTATCAGTGAAAGGATTACGCGGCTGTCGCTTCATTATGTCAGATTCGGCCTCCTCGTAGGCCAGGGAAATGGCGGGCACCTACACAAACACTAGCCATGTGAGCGGGCGGCGAGCGATCGCGCGTCCGCCCGCCGCGCTCGTGTTACGTACGCGCTCGGACCAAAGCGTGCTGCATCGTTATCACATGTGTACAACATCGAACACTTAGCAAGCCAATTGCAATCAGACGCCACTACTACACTTTGAACCTTCGACATACAGAGTACGAATGTAGATTTCGGCGCATGCTTGCAACTACTTGTAATGCTTAATAACTATGTTATAGAAAAATAATCGGTAACACATAAAAATGTAGATCATGGGATGACATCGTTGTGGCAGGTATGGGACATATCTGTAATGTGGAACGTAAATTTAACTAAATGAATGAATGGACGTGTCCATTTCGGAGCTTCACAATGGTCGTACTTTGATGAGAGGTTCGACTGAACGAATGAGAATGGTAATGGCATGGCGGTGACTGTGAAACATCAGTGTGCTGTGTCTGTCTAACTTGTAGAGCGTACACTACGGTAACCTTTGCGGGCCATCACTTGTTCGTGCTATTACGCTCCTCATCACTAGGTATATATGTAAAAGTTAAATGAAAACAAAACACACGAAATTATTAGATTTCTAGACTAGAACACCTCATAGGCATATTCACAGAACTCGTTTAGTTGTCAGATGCTGTATTAGTAGGAGATTATAGATAAGATCGTCTGCATGATACCACATTTCATACATCATAACACATTAATTTATTATAGCTATCTTACATAATCATAAGCGCCTCCTGATACTTGTAAAATCTCGAGGGAATCTGGTATTTATGATTATATAAAATAAATCTTACATTAGAGTAACACCACTCGTCACGATATCGAGACAACATGTTATTAGCTGAATCCAGTTAGGATTATAAAACGGCAATACTATGCTAGATATAATAGAGACCTCTCGTTGACAAGTTTGTCGCAAAATGGGTTCCTGGGCGGGCGTTTCATAATGTCCGCCTCTGCTGCCTCGTACGCCAGCGCAATCGCTGGCACCTAATGTTAATCACTTATATAGTTATTTGCATATCTGTTCTATATTCCCACGCTGGAATATTAAGGAAAATAAATTTCCCAGCTATCAATGTGTGTACAAAGCAACTGTATTAATACTAGTAGTGTATTTGTATTTTATTTAATGTGTGTCACAGGACCTGAGAGTGTATGTTTTAAGTTTTAGAACATTGTCAGTTTATCTAATAAGGTCCATTTTAGTTTCAATCTAATATTGTTATATTACACAGAGTGACAGCTGTGAATAGATCACTTATACATAACTTACGCTAAATTTATATAAACATCACAGTATTTTCGTCCCTGTTTAAAAAGAATATTAAACATTAGTTAATACAAAAGATGTACAAATACAACATCATTTCCTTAATATCGCAAATTAAATATTATAAATAATACAAATTAGGTCATTTTAATGATACATTGGTAAAACAAAATGATGTTGTAATGCAACTCTTTAATAGACCGTAAGAATAAATAGATAAGGTCGAACTTACCATGTCAGTTCCAAGATCGATGCAAAGGATCGTGACAGTGCCAAGTGGTAGTGGAATGTCGCATAGGATAAAGGCAAGGAAGGGCGAGATCTCAGGGATGTTGGAAGTGAGCGTGTACGCAATGGATTTCTTCAGATTGTCGAAGATCAGTCGGCCTTCCTCAACGCCAGTGACGATAGACGCGAAGTTGTCGTCGAGGAGAATCATGTCAGCAGCCTAGTACACAAATAAGTAATTGTAAATTGTATGTTAACATTTAGATTTCATGTTAAAAAAAACTGTGTTCATTTTAGGTATGTACCTAACTATGTACCTAACTTCATTCAAATTCGTTTAGTCATTTAAGGGTGATTAAATATCAAATATCCATACATCTAAACATCCTTATAAAAAATTAAATGTCAATTAAATGTGATTATGATCAATACCTGTTTGGATACGTCGGATCCAGCGATACCCATAGCTACACCGATGTCAGCTTTTTTCAAGGCAGGGGAGTCGTTCACACCGTCGCCTGTTACAGCCACAATGGCACCGAGACGCTGGCAGCCTTCAACGATGATCAGTTTCTGTTGCGGTGACGTGCGGGCGAATACGATTTCAGTGTGATACCTGTATAAAATTACAAACAGACAACTTGATTACTGTGTCGAATTTTTCACTTTATTAATATATAAATGAAATATTTGATACGATGATTGAAAAATATTCGAAATGGATAAATCGTTGTTCTAACCCATTTTATTAATTTCATTCTAAGATGAAAATTATGATATCAAAATTATACAGAAGAGTCATAAAAACTTTCAATAACAATAACTAAAGACATAGTTTTAGTATATGGTCATACCGATATAGAACGTAACTTTATCTTCTCGTGAAATGGTAATTGAAAGATAATCACTATAATAAAATTGACTAGTTTTTGTAGTAAATAGATAAATATTGAAAGAGAGAAGAATATGTATTTTACTTGAGAATTTCATCAAGCTGGTCAGAGTTCAATTCCCGAAGTTCAGTTCCGTGGACGACGGCGGCTTTAGCTTCGCGTGGGTTCACTTCGGATACGGGGATGTTGAGGCGAGCAGCGATATCTTCAACAGTCTCATTGCCTTCCGAGATAATACCGACGGACTTCGCAATGGCCTTGGCTGTGATAGGATGATCACCAGTCACCATGATAACCTGAAATATATACCAACATTTAGGGATATACACCAAAAAATGTTGTTTATCTAGTTATTTAGGCTCATTATAAAACACTGGTATTCAGTATAAATTCGATAAAAAAAGAGATATTAGAGAAGTATAAGAACATATAGACAACTGTCAATTCTTGGTTATTCTAACAAAAAAGTTATATATTGCTTTAAACATGTGGCAACAATGCACATACTCTTTTAATCTCATCAAAGTAAATTAATTAATGTGTTGCAAATATTTTTTTAAATATCAACTAGTATTCAATTCGCTCTCACTGAACACACGTATATTCAAAAAATATCACTTTAGTATATATGTTACTACTCTGTATAGAATAAATTAAAAAAAAAACGCAAATTCTCATAATTTCACACTATTATAGCAACTGACCTTGATACCAGCTGATCGGCATTTAGCGACGGCGTCAGGCACAGCGGCACGGGGAGGGTCAATCATACTCATAAGGCCCACAAATCGCAGGTTGTCCAGGGGGAAGTTGGGGTCATCCGTATTGAATTTGTATCCGATGGGATACTTGTCAGAGGGTAGTTGGAGGTCGCAGAAACCGAGCACACGTTCGCCGAGACCACCCAGTTCGAGGTACGCGTTGTTGAATGCCTCCTTCATTTCTTCATCCAAAACCTAGTATTGTAATTATTTGGTGATGAATTTAAAAAATTATGTTCCATAAAAAAAAACTGACTTTAATTGTGGCAAAACCAGTTATTTTGATTTAAAAATGAAACTATTGAATCGGTTTTGATAAAGTTTCTATGAGCCAATCTGTATATCCTTTGCAGATAACAAAATAACTTTTCAAATTGATTTACAACTGACGGAGTTCTGAAGTGACAAACATTAAAAAATACAACCGAATTGAGAAACTTCTTTTTGACATCGGTTGAAAAGATGAACTTACTCCCATAATAAATACCCTTTAGCTATATTTTACCCTTGTTGAATTCATTGGAATTTATAGATAAGTACTGTTAGCAATAAAAGTAGATAGACGCACAGAATTTCAAAATTCCTAAAAATGTTTTAAATTATCATATATAATATATTATATGATAAAGTGTATAGCAGCTTTTAAAATCTTAATTTGTTCGTGTTATTTATGTAGTTTAATTTTTTTAGACTAGTTTAGTTTTCTATTATTTTTAAAATTTTTGTATAACCTTAAAAATATATATACAAATGAAGTAGATTGAATGAAATATTGAAAGAATGAAGTAGAAATCTTATTGACCTTTTCCTTGCCACCAATGAAAATAGTGCTGCAACGTTCTAGGATCCTTTCGGGGGCACCCTTCATCACGAGCTGGTGGCGAGGATCGCTTGCGTCATCACTTTCGTGAATTGAGACCTGGTACTTGTTCGTTGAGTTGAAGGGAATCTCGCACACTTTCTTGTTACGTTTCCTGATGGACATCACGTCACCGAGAGCCAGTTCCATGCATTTGAGCAGCGCAGCTTCCGAAGCGTCACCAGCTACTTCCTTCTTCAAGATAGGAACGCCGTCCTGACCACCCTTGAACTCGGCACGGTTGCAGAGAGTCGCGATTTTGGCGAGCGCCTTGAAACCAGGACTAGTGCGGTCTGGAGGACAACCAAGTAGTTAATGCTTTCTTAAATATTCAAAGTAAGAAAAAGTAAAAAGAAGAGAATTTAAATGCACAAATATCACTAAATAAATAATTAAGAATCACAATCGTGACTATATTTTTAAATTTGTCAATTTTCAAATAAATTGTCAACTATTTTATCAGGATTTTTTAACAGTAGCATTAATTCTACTGGACTCATTAATTTTCTGACAGTGAAGAAATAACCACGAAGATTGTCTCTACGTAAGAGTAAGAGTTAGATGTCTTCCTTGACTTTACACGTACCGTACTGTACTCCAGATTGATCCTCAGTAGTGTCAGCCTCTATGATCTGGTTGTCGAACCACATATGAGCTACAGTCATTCTGTTCTGTGTGAGAGTGCCGGTCTTGTCGGAACAGATCGTGGACGTGGAGCCGAGGGTCTCGACAGCTTCCAGATTCTTTACCAAGCAGTTCTTGGAAGCCATTCGTTTGGCAGTCAGGGTTAGACATACAGTGACAGTGGCGAGTAGACCTTCTGGTACATTGGCTACAATGATACCTGCAAGAGAACAAAATGGTTTTTCTCTCTCTCTCTCTCTTCTAATACATTTTGAATGAAAGCATTTGGGGAGGCTTTTATAAAATCTACGCAGATCTTTGTAAAGCAATAAAGTTACGTCAAAATTAACACAAAGTTAAAAAGAGAGAAAAAATATAGACATTTAACTTTGAAACACATTTAAATAATACATATTATTCAATTAATACATCAATTTTACACATTAAATATTATGAAGAAATTAATCTTACCAATAAGGAAAATGACAGCGTCAAGCCAATGGTACCCGAGGATAAAGGCAATGACGAAGAACGTAACACCAAGGAACACAGCTACACCGGTGATCAAATGGATAAAATGGTGAATTTCTTTGGCAATCGGCGTTTCTCCAGTATCCAGGCCAGAAGCTAAGCCGGCAATACGACCCATTACCTATTGAAGACGGAGAGTTTTAAAAATGATTGTCAATTCGCCTATCAATACTGTAGAGAATGATTTTATTCATTATTTACATTTCAATATATGACTGTGTCTGTCCGGCTGTTTAATTGAACTCTCAAAACAGCTGGTACTGTTGGAATTGATTGATCCGTTTTTTTGCGAGATCATTCTTTACGTGAACATTAAAACGAGGGCACAGCCAGACTGGCGCAGTGGGACTAAGATCTGTCAAGTTTTTAGTCGTATACTCACAGTATTGTCTCCACAGCAGATTACGATGCCCTTAGCGGTACCTTCAACAGCGTTGGTAGAGAAAAATGCTAAATTCTTAGTTTCCAATGGGTTTTCGTTGGTGAACTCTGCTCCGCGGGACTGAGGCTCCGACTCGCCAGTCAAACTTGAATTGTCTACTTTGAAACCGCGCGCTTCGATGATGCGGATGTCAGCAGGGATACGATCGCCGAATTTCACCTAGGATTATAATATTTTGACCTTAAACTTGATCTTGTATTTTTTATGATACTAATAAGGCAAATAAACCAATGTCTAATCTGATTAAAATTGGATCATCTGTAATGAACAACATCAGTAAATTCGAAGAATATCGGTCCTAATATGACCATGGTTGCCATTTTTAGTATACTCTTCTATCTTGGTTTAAGTGAATCATACTATACTAAAAAACTTTCACATAAATACACTTGATTATACGGGACAAGAAACTTTGTACGCCGTTAATAAGCATATGTCATGTCATGTGATTCGCAATGAAAGATTTTGTTTTACTTAAAAAAAAAAAATCTGTACTCCTAGCTCTATATGGTGCCGGAGTTACAATACAAAGTTCAGTTACACGACTCATTTTTGTTGTAAACGTATTGAAATATAATTAGTCCTAGACAAGGATAATTTACTTCATATAGCAAGTCGCTTGGTTGGCGTAGTATAATAGTAGGCCAATATAAAGATTTAGTTCCTTATGAATTATGAAGAGAACCATGTTGAACAGTAGGACGATGTGTTGTTATAAAGATGATAGTAAACGACTGTGCTGCAGCCATACCGCTACCATAAACAAATATATGACAAGTAATAAAATTAAACTGCTGAACTAACTGTACCTCAACGATATCACCGAGTACAAGGTCTTCAGCGCGCAGCGTCAACTTCTCGCCTTCACGTATGACGGTAGCGAACTGTGGCACCATGTTTTTGAAAGATTCCATGATCTTCGATGACTTGCTTTCTTGATAGTATGAGAAGATACCCGTCACAATTACTACAGCTGCCAATACAATGCCGAGGTACAAGTTGTCGTCCGCTGGTTCTTCTACGGTACTAGCCTGTAACCAAGTTTTTTCATCATTTTCCTACGTCATTGGAAAAGTCATAATAAACTGGTGGCACACCTGACGGAATATTGTAAGTTTCTCCTACAGGGAGGAATAATAGTACGAACATCAAGATCTATGATTATACTGGGTTCCTTAAAGGCTACAATCTTGAAGACTATATTCATCATATCAGTCATCAATTATATACTGCTTCATACAATAATAATACTTCATACAAGAACATAGGCTTCTTCTGTTGGGGGGTTTTGCCAGTAGTAGCCATACTTGGCAGGCAGGTTGGCAACCAGAGTTAGGTTTTGGTGTTTTTTTAAGAGGGACGCTGCTGCCTATCCCTTACCAATTATAAAATATAATTCATAAATAATTCTAACCTGAATTCCGTAGGCAATAAAGCATAGAATAGCACCAATCCACAGTAATAACGCGAAACCGCCGAACAGATTTTTACAAAACTTCACCCATTCGGGTGTCTGCTTTGGAGGTGTGAGCGCATTTGGACCGTCCCTTTCGAGGTTCTCTTTCGCTTTTGCGTGACTAAGGCCCTGAAATATAAAAACGTATTTTAGTATTGTGCATTTTTAAATTTATTAGGGATTAGATAATTTTTTTTTTAAATAACAGAATATAATCAACATATATAATTTTATCTTTGGTGTTTTTTTTTTTGTGTTAATAATTTAATTTCTTACATTTTCGGGATGTGTTTGAAATCTTTGGTATAGTTCCTCAGGTGATACTTTGTGGTAGTCAATGTCCAACTCTTGTTTCAGGTCATCTAAATCTCCTGTTTTCCGTTTTTTCGCGGGGGGTTTCCGGCGTGTCTGCAAACATATTAAAAACAACGTATAAATAAATCATAACAAACAATTTATTGACCACCACCAATAATTGCACTTTAATTGCAAGTTTATAATATTTTTACTTATAGTTTATGGAGACTGAAAAATAAAATTTCGCAGCAAACTTTAAAAATAAAATAATACTATATGAGGTAAGCATGCAATATCAAGCGACGATTGACTGCCACGCATAATACACTGAGTGCTGGCATCAATCATCACTTCAGAACATCAAATGAAAGATGGTAATGTAAATATAAACCTTGTACTGTCCGTCAGCGGTTCTATTATCGTCCTTAATGGGGCCGATGGTTGCGACGCGGTACGAGTCGGTACGGCCATGCTGCAAACACAACTAGGGGCTAGACACATTCTACTAGGGACCCTATGGGTCATGCATCATGAATGGCTGATAGTGATGAGTAACGATACAGCACGATTTATGAAATAAAATATGAATGTGTAAAAAGTAATGGTACAGTTAGAATTTCATACGATTAAAATCATGCTATATCGATACAAAACAGAAAGTGCCTTGAAATTTATGCAAAGAACTGAGTTAAATAATATTAGACATTTTAAAAAATTCAGTAACTTAGTGCACAATATTATAAAAAAATCATAAAGTGATAAATAATAAAGTACAGAAACTACTGCTACATCAACATTAAAGAGTAAGTTGCATAATAGGACTATAAAATAATTCCATAGGAGACTATGAAGGGGATTGTATGGCGAGTAGAGTAGCACACAATAACTGATCGCGCGGTTATAACCTTGACGGACGTAAGTATACCCTGGGGACCATCGCTCGATGGCACTCAATTGATACGGTTTAGTTACGCATGCGAACTTGAGAGCAGCGGTAAGGACATTGAAAATATCGATACACAGTCGCTTTATAATCATTATATATCGGATTTATTTTAGGTTGAAAAAAAAAAAATACATAATCCTATAATGAACATTCCCGGTACTGACTGCCATATTTTATAAGTACATATGTTAGTTAGTTACATATTTTATTATTAAATTTAATTTTACAAGATGTTAAGCGACACTTCTTAATATTAATAATATAATTTCAAAATTAAAAATAATATAATTATGAATACCTACTATAAAATATATAACGTGGTGTGCTATCAGCTACCTTTTACCGATACTTTGTAATAATTATTCAAAAAAATACGTGTGAAATAATGTGTATAAATTTGAAGTACCCATTAAGGAAATGTAAAAATCTATAATAACGATAAATTAATTTTAGATATGTTCACTTTGTAACGACAAAATGATTTAACATACATTTATAGGTAAATAACATGCATGTTTCAGTAATGTCATCAGCTCTGAAAATATTAAATTGGCACCTGCCTCGAGGGTGATTTGTGACTATATTTACGTATCGCCCTGAACTGGATATGGACTCTTACGTAAGTGCTGGTAACGTATGAATTGTGCGCGATAAGGGTGCAATATAGTTACATCTAAATGCGTCCACGTAGCCGTGAACAAGTCAGCTGTCACCGTCGATAATTGATGAACGTTTTCATATAGGCCTCATTAAACCGCGCCCTGAATTCTATTCAAGGCCATCACACGAATAACTGGAGCGAATAGTAGAATATATACCATCTAAGTGACAGAAGTTGGATGGGCACAAAATTTAAGTAAAAAAAACCTCATGAATTATCCAAGATGCCTAGATAATAGATTCTGACTATTTCCGTAAAGGTAGGGTTTTAATCTTTAGGAAGCTTAATTAGAATCTCTGAGCCGACCTCTGAATGTGGAAGGCGGAGGTGATGCAATATTCATATGACGAAGGAGGGTGGATAAGATCGTGTTAACTGGAGAGACAGACATGCGGCGGCGTGGTCGCCCGTGTTACATAAGCGGCGGCGCACCGGGCATGCGCGCTGTGGACCAACCCCCACTCGGTACCCTCGACATAAATAGCTAAAAGACAAGGTTGCCACTTGCCACCCCCGGGCGCCAGAGACCGCATTTATAATCTCTATAAAGGTTAAACCGGAATATTTGATGAAAAATCGAAACCAGTCCTCCTTTGACTTCAATATTAGCCGTTAAAGGGAAGCCCTTTTAATAATTCAACACAAAACTAGTCTCCGCAACTGCAAACATGTTAAAAATAGGGTGCCTTCTCTTTTTTACGGTTACTTTGCAATAAAATTGAATAAAGCAAAATAAGGCAGATAAAATAGTCTGTACTGATACTGTTTTTAATTTATTATATTAGGAAGAAGTGTAATTGTAGAAAATAAAGTATTTACGAATGTCAGCGACTGATTTCGATATGACTTCGACTGACTGTAGCTATCAACAGTAGACAATATTTTTATTACAAATGGTTATAAAAATAATAGTCAAATAAATATACGAGTATGCGCTTTCAACTATTTCTGTGCTGGTCAAGATGACACTAGAGTTGCTTATATTTTAAAACTCAACATTATCTATTTGCAAATTCAAAGTGTCAGAAAGCGGACTATTTATAAACTCATTAAATGCTATAAAATCAAATATATATTACATACAATATAGAATGATATTGATTATTGTAAATGTACATAATATAGCTGTGAATATAAGTCTTTTATTAGCACGCTGGCCGATCAATAATTGAACGTAACTAAAATAAATACGTAGGTATACGTAGCAGGCCAAAGATACATTGACTCGTTGACAAAACTAGTTAGCGCTGAAAAATAGTGGTTACTATCGTAGTAAATACATGCGTGAATGAAATAATTATGTATAACATAGACGAGGAGCGCTTTGTATCGAGCCGCTCGTCTAGTGACACTGTGGGATGATTGCCAAAATGCTATTACAAAATAAATTATATTTTTCATGTATATATTTGTTTCTAGATGTCCGATACTGTAACTATTCTTTAAACTATAAAAAGTTATGCTGTTAGTAATTTCTCAAGAAAATGAGGTACAATGTAGAGAAATTATCCTAGAATTTGCTATATTATTTTTTTATAAGTTTTTCACGATAATTAACTATTTCAGTGCTAATCACCATAATTATAACATGGTGAATTTGATCAAGTGGAGAGTACAAGTTTTGATTTAAAAAGTACATAAATGTATCTATAATATAACTCGATTTTTCGACATGTACCTAATGAAAAATTATTATTAATAAATAATAACAAATAAATGTTCCAAGATATTTCCTAGTAGATTATCAGTTATTATTGGAAAGTCTTCAAAATTAGATTTAAAATTTTTACAAGAAACAAATCATAAAGTGTATCAAGTAAGTAATGTATTTAAAAATAGCCTATGTAAGAGGATAGATACGAATTAAAACTATCATTATAATATGGATTAAAGATGTAGACAGAAAATATGAAGAAGTTAAAAAAAATCTCTGTGTAGAAAACAAAGAACTTGAAAATATAAGATGTAAGAAAAATGTACTCAAACTATTTAAAGTACAGATGTAATATAATATTTTCGGTTCTCCATACTCATAAGGACTAGATACCGGAGAACAAGACAAATATGGGTTAGATATCGAATTCAACAAAATGTTTGAATGATTTGAAATTTGGTCTTCCGGAGTAGTAATTTGGTACAGATGTTGTCATCAAAGTTCTAAGAAGTTCTAGTTTGATAATCTACATATTCCTGACATCTTGCTGCTTACTATGTACTTAGCAATATACTTTATCAGGTCGACCTTCACGCGGTACTCACTAGAAACCCTCATCATCATTCCCGGTAATCTTATCACGACGAACTAATTGACCAATCTTTATTTTACCTATCATCTCTTACAGGTACCACCCAGTATAAACCGATAGTGCAGGCGGCGTCCATTATATCATGATTGTCCAGTAAAAAACTTACTATATAATTGAAATATATAGTATCGGTTAATTATCTATTATATTACTTCAAAATAGATATAATTAATCTAAAGAAGATGCTAAATTGCTTTTAATTTATTACAGTTTGTTCTACTTATTTTTAATTATTTCTTCTTAGGAATTTCAATAAACTTAAAAAAAAAAAATCCAGATCCTCGCATTAATTTTGACAATTTGGCCTTTTTATTAAAAATTTTTTTGCACATTCAAAGAAATGTGACATTGCATATTTCAATTGAGAAAGTTATTTTAAAGATAATTTAAAAGTACTTTTTATTTGAACAGCGAGTTTTGTCAGTAAAAATAAATTCATCATTAATGTAAAAATTCTAAAATAGGTAAGTATACAAAGGGGCATTTACTAAAATTTCTACTAATCAAGAAAAAGGTAAATGAGTAATCAAGAAAAATATACTAGTAGTAATTCTGAGGAATGGCCGTTTAAAGTATTATATAAGTACATGTTAGGGACTGAAATTAAAGAGAAGAGAAAAAAAAAACATACTGAATAGGTGACAGTCTTGTAATAAATGAAATAATAAAGAATCCTTTTATCTAAAAACATAACATATATTGTGCTAAAATCTCCCAAGTATGTTGAAATTTTGGGAATAATATAAAATATTCATATATATATATATATATATATATATATATATATATATATATATATATATATATATATATATATATATATATAATTTTGTTTAGTATTTTTAGAAATTTCATTCTCCGAAACAATATAATACGTCCTACAATTATATTACTCTTATGGAATATTCCATCACAGAGTAAATTACGGATTAAATATCAAACTGAAAAGAAAGAAACAGTTTTGTAAAAAAAAATCGGATATTTTTACTACAAATGTTCGTGAAAAGTAAAATATAGTGAGCATTATTAAATAACTACGAAATAGTGTCATTTTCAAAAATCGGTCAGAGTGCTAACAAGTGTCTCAAGATTTTGATATATTAGGAGAAATTTCTAAATAAAAGAATAGCAACAAATAAAAACCCAAAGTGTCTCCACAATGTTGTAATATAAGTAATGGCACATAGTTACCATATCTCCAAAGACAGATGATATTAATTTATGAGTACTATTGTCAACGATAAATACTCCGATAGAGAAACGGCAGGCGCTCTATGCTATTGAAATTAAAGTAAAAAAACGGTCTTCTAATGTTGTATCTAAGATGACTTAGAAATATCCCCCCAAGGACTGTCTAGCATCCTAATTGATGTGTGCTGTCGTCATAAAGGATAAAGGAAATACTCCAATAGAGCGACAGTACTCTATGCGATTTAAATGACATAATGACGAAGCAATTTTCTAATAAACCTTCGGTGCTCTTATAGTTCTCGTGTCCGAACCACAGTACGCTCCCGCGACAACCTGTTAGCTACTTCCTTCAGAACACCTAGCAAGGAGCCGCTTAAAGACTGACGGAAATGGAATTTGAGTTCATTTTAGGTTGGAAATATTCATAAAATGTAATTTTTTTTATTATTATTGAATAAAATTTACGCTGATTACCTCATGTGGAGATTTATTCTATGGTCTATTTTTTAGACTTGAAATACTGAAATAATGTTCAATGATATTGAATGTCCCGAGCATTTTAGTTCACACAGATTTGGAACTATACTATCAAATTTTTATAATTCATTGTATTATTATAAAAAGTTTATCCATTGTACTGCCTTTTATAATTTAAAAACATTTTATTATTATATATAAAAAGTAAAGCAAATATGAAATTTGCAAAATACACTTTATTTTTTATCAATGAAATTTTGATTTAAAAAATACATGTCATGATGTACAATGGTAAATTTAAATAAACTAACAACTATCTATCTATCAGTAAAGTTCTTGTTAGTAGTTTTATCGATATTACAATTCGATTAGTTGAAGGAAGTGATCCTGCACTGTCACATGAAAGACCAAGCGGAGTGTCTCGTTCTCCGCACAGATCGATACCGCACAGTTACGCAACCCGGCCGGCGCCGTCTGCTGATACATTACTTCCTAGACAATTCCTTATTTTTCAAATTTCATAATCTGCATATTAACTATAACTAGATTTAGATGAACAAACAAGAAACAGACGACACAGATAATGAATGTTAAAAATTAAAAAAATATAATAAAAATGCAAGCAATGGTAACAACGGAAGAACTAGTGTTCACGATCTCGACTGTTCGACGATCTGAGTGGGCAAGCTAATAATGAGACACAATCGCGGTGGTAGCAGAACAAAGGCGAAAGACGTGCATAATAGGTCCCAGCGTGAAACGACACAGGGGCCATGCCCCGGAGAACGCAAGCACTTGTCACAAGCAGATGATTACTGCTATGGCTGACGGCGATTCCTTCATCATTACCTTCCGCACTCACTATACCCGACATGCACTAGCACCTTCACGAAAGCACTGTCCCGCAAAGATTTGCTACTGCAAAGGCCTAAGGTATGCACTACAGAAAGCACTGCACTCACCTCGCCCATTTTCGCTAGTCTTTATGAAAAAGGCGGATAAAAAGGAGGTAGCCGCCTCTCGGTCTCGCCTCTGTCCCTCAACGGAGTAGGGTGGGTCGTCGCTAGTTCTGTAACAACGGGGACCTTTACGGTTTCCTCGTTCCAACGAAAAAACTTAAAATTGTGTGCGCTTTCACGTAGTCTCGTGTCACGGCACTGGGGCTATGTCATCGTGGTACGAAACTAAAACCCGGTATGAGAAAGAGCGCGGGTGGCAAAGGCGCGTAGGGCGCGACGCTCGGCGGCCAGTGTCGGGCGGCGACTGACGATGAGGTCCGCGCGTATCGAGCCGACGGCGCACTGACGTCACACTGCGTCACGACGCCAGCGCCGCCGCTGCTGCCGTCGCGCGCACACCACTGCGCATGGCACCCTGTGCTGCCGCCGCCGCCACCGCCGCCGCCGTCGCCACCGCCACCGCCGCGCCCGTCCCGCTCGTAACCTTCCACAACGGGTACGTTGACAGCCTTCTCCTAAACTATACCCAACCCATGCTGTCACTTCGTAAACAATTTATCTGATGGTTCCCACATAAGAATAATGTCGTATTACTTGGCTTTATGTTTATATTACGAGGTGATCTTTAGGTACACAATGTACATATCATTATCTGTGGATCAGAAGCTCTTATACGCTACAATTTTGTATAACACATTTGTTGGAATGGAGGGTTGTCTCTCCCAGCCCTAATGCAATATTGAGTTTTGGCAGACGTCTTATTCGGAAGTGTAAAAGCGGTTACCTAGCAATATGACTAAGATAAAATTAAATAAAAAACTTATTGTGTTACTTATAAATAAAGGCATTGTTAAGTATATTTAAAAAAGGGTAATGTGTATCTTTTCCGTGTTGTAAAAATGCAACTTTGACATAGAGTTTGCGTTACAATGTCTGCAGAAGAATTTTATTGCCAGTGAATATATCTACGCGCGTTTTATTGCATTTGCATTATGATAACGTCATAACATTCGCATATAAATAACTGGTAGACGTAAATGTTTTATTACTAGGGGGCCACTGAAAGTAGCCGCTATACCCGCGAACTAAATCCGCAGGTCTCGCCTTGTGGAACACGCGCGAAATTTATTACCCCACCATGGAGGAATAGAAAGCGGCATTACAACCAGAAAGGGGCTTTGGACGTATTATGTAGGGTCCATTAAATCCTTTGTCCGAAAGAAATATCAGTGTGGAAAAATCTGAAGCTCAAATTACCCACACCTTGGGATTTCAATTATATGGTAAGCCTATTCCATATTCTTATTTCGGTCAAAAGTACATTATATTGCAAAAAAAAACATTTTTGGTTGTTTTAGTTTGTTTAGGTTTGGTTAATATTTTTTAATCAAAATATACAATTTTATTATTTGCAAGTTACTGATGCATTTCTAGTACTATATTTAGAAAGTCGATATTCTAAATCGTTTATGGCACGTTGGGTAGGGTAGGTGCTGTGGACAAGCATGTAATGTGTCTCATATAATAAACCAAGGGTGGGCGTAATATATATGAATCTTAAACAATCACTGATATTTGAACAGTTGATTGAGACGGGAAAGTACACAGAAATATTTATTGCTTCTCGCGAGGGGGGATTAACGAAAATTAAACGAGGTTCTTAAGAACTCTTAGGAGTGATTCGATGGCATTTGCTACCCATAAAAGAGATGTTGTCGTTTTTAGGGGAGAAATAAATGGGGTATTTTAGTATTGTACGATGTGATTAGATAAAAATTGTTTTCCCCATTCTGGTGTATTATTTTGTTATTATCGAGTAGGCCTGTTATCTAATAAGAAATAATCATAATTGTAATAATTAGTGTGGTATACCACACTAATAATGAAAGTTGTAAGTAATAAGTATGTGCATTAGCGTAATTACTTTAGTTTTATACAATTGTTCTCTTAGCGTTTATATTACCATTTCGCAAACTTATTATAATTTTCGTATGAATTCATATCTCTTAAAGGCTGCATTTGGAATGCGTTTAGGTTTGGGGATACGAATTTGCACTGTATAAAGAATATATGTACATATTTAGTTTTCATTTATATTAAATACATTTTTACATCTATAGCTTAAAAAATTATACTATTTCTGTGATGATCCATAGAAAGTTATTAATTAATTTTACACACTTCATCATCATCATTATTTCAGTCATTATCCGTAAACTGCTGAGCATAAGCCTCCCCCATAGACGCACTTACTAATTATTAATTTTGTGCTTTATTGCATCAATATTATTCGAGTTATTTATTGAGTCATCACTTTAAAGTAATAACTACCGGTTTCACTTATGTATATATGTTGTGCCGCTAGCGCTCGGGCCGCTCATGACTAAGTGTTCCGGATGGTCCCGAAACTAGTCCAGCTTTTTCGACTAAAGTACACGTAAATTAAAATGGCAATCGTTACATTAAAATATAATATGTACTTACGAAACGAAATGAATGTTATATAATATTTTTGGTATACATATCCTGATTCTGAACAGCATTTCTTGATTTCAAGAATCTTAAAATTTGGTCATATGATAATTCAAACGAATGGAACTTTTTTTTTAAAACCTATCAATCGTTCGTCTGAATTGACGCTTTTCCATAGAGAACCTATATTTTCCCTAAGCTTTAAATAACTATATATTTTACTCAAGAAGATTATCAACAATCGAAGTTAAATTAACAAGGGGTGAAAACGGTAGTTAGCGGATACATTTCCGGGGTGTTGGGTGCGCCACCTGTCAGGTATTAATTTCCGCTACTTGACGTTGGTCCGGCGTAATTATACGTCAGCAAATTTAGACGTATCACCATCGGTAAATGCCCAGCGGTCCGCAACCCACACCACTTGGGCACGTAACTCCGCTACCGAACTTTTATAAGGAGGAAAAGGGCGGCTTGTCCAATGGCCGGGACGTTCATAAAATGCAATATTAAAAGACCCTATTGACCTTGTGAACATTTATTATGGAGAGAACGTCTTTTGAAGCTCAATAGAATGCTGTTTTTCCCAGTTGGTGATAAATGATATTCGCTACGGTGAAATAGTATAAAATACAGGCAAACCGATGTAATTTGTTATGGATATATGTTGTTAGTATAAAAAACACTGTAGGGGTAGACAGCGGGAGATTTTATTTCAAGCACCCGGTGGTAGAATGGCTGGTCGCAAGACAATAAAACGCAGAGTTGCACACTTTTCAATTTCTGCGTCCGTCGTGCCCTCGCTGTGAGCGTATTTTTCATTTTACCGAGTCTGAAATGAAATGCTAAACAAAAGGATTTTTCTCCTCATTGTTTCACTCAATTCAAAGCGTATTTTTAACAATCCGTTAATTAATTCTTTTTTTATAGAAATGTTTATTTGTAATGAATCAAGTAGGTATTCTACCTAAACGGAGCGGAGTAGTTCGCTCGAGTTATTGAATTTCAATAAACAAGAATGTGTGGTAGTTCACGGGAGAGGCGTATGTTCATTCGTAGACAATATATGCAAGTATACCAGTTAAGTATTAAGAATTAGGATTTCTAAATCATAAAAAAAAACAGCCAACTGTAAACAGAGCATATGTAGTGTATCATCAAAAGTGGAATTACAAAATCTCATCTCAAATAAATTCTAAATTTAAATTTAGAATTATACTAATATTTAGTAGAGGTTTTTGAAAGGCATACAAATAGAATTACTGAAATTCACAGTTCTTTTAATTTTTCTCTTTAAAAACAAATTACAACTGCTGCAATATGTCAGTTCCTACTTGTAGAATTACTAAAGTACGCATGCACCGTTCGCTGCGCTGGGGTGTTTCCCAGGCATAGGTCAGTTACTAACCTTACTAAGCTTGTTTCCCTGCGTGTTGTAGGTCTATTATACACGAATAGCTTATAAACAAGTTTCCATCAGTTTCAGCTCATTTTAGTAAACATTTTTATTATTACTTCATCGCTTTAACGTTGACGGCTTAAAACTGGCGGTGAAAGTGACCTCGAAAGTTTCATTTGAGGATGTCAAACTTCTGCACCCCGCGAAGCTCCCCACAGGCCGTACTGTTGTTCTCGGACAAGTAACCTTAACTTTCAGAAGAACTTCTAATGGGCAGAAGCGTATGAAAGCGTCTATACAACAGATGTCAAATGTCAAAAGGACAAAGAGATTTTAGCGGAGATAATTCAACAGGGCGTTCTTGATGTATTATATAAGACATTAGTATCAGAGTCGAGGCAGCGGGCCATTCCTTCGCTGTGAAGGACCGGCTGATATGAAAATTCGTCGTCGAGCGGCCAGCGGGTGAAGGGTGGTGGTGAGGGGCGCTCGGTTTGGGGCGGAGGGTGCACGGAGGCTCTATTTGGGTCACCCCGGGCGTCATTCCCCACGATCAATAGTGGTGCCGGCGCGCGCCGAGTCTCGCTCTCTCACGCCGCCAGTTACCTAACTCGTCTCGCACACTGGCCCACCGACATTAATTATTTTCTAAATTGCCCTTTATATGAGCTATTTAAACTAAACTATGAGCACATACTGTGCAACAGCCCTTCAGTTGAGACTAATATCGTATTCACGTGCTAATCCACGTATTCATGATAATCTATGTCTGACACGGTAACTCTAGTTACGTTTAGCTTGTAAATTATTATATAATATTAAGTATTATATAATAGTTATAGGAAACCTTTATTCATTTTTATTTATAAGTGAAAGAAAAGTTGTTAAAGCAGTTGTGACGTTGAATGCTTTGAGGCGGATTTAAAAATTAAATTAAAAGTTTGCAGAACGAGGTAATAAATCGACTATAACTCTATGAACCGAGTCATATTTAAAACAGCGCTGAAAGCTTATATTGAGTTGTTCGTTCAGAGTCGGAGAACTGGCTCAAGTGGAAGCATAAATAAAGCTGGCGGTCTGACGAGCTAACGAACTCTAACTAGTTACAAAAAGCGCTAACTTAGGCCAGGTAATATTCGAGATACTATGACAAATTGTCAAATACCATTTTAAACGGAATAACACACTTTACTGTGATGTAGTGCACAAATCTTTTTATTTCAATATATGTAAAGTTTTACGCAATGAAACAGATTGTATTATGTATAAAGTGAAACTGGTATTCTCTGAGAAAACTTAATATGTAGTAGAAATAGGCCGCGGATTCACGCTCTATTCGAATCCTGCGCATTTACATTTTAACTGGATTGTGTTGAACTAACTTTTTACATTAAGCCCGATCCGTCGGTAAAGTTTTCTTCACGGACAAAAGTTCTTTAATATTTTATTCACGCATTTTTT